TTACCTGGACAAGGATGGTGTAATACATTTGCCAGATGGAAGCCTAGCCATTTCACCCTCGAAGACTGAAGGTCGTTATCTAGTAGCACAGGACAAGCTGACAGGAGACCCTGTCATATTCGACCGTCGTGCTGGCGCAGAACTCATGAATGCCACCATCCACCACAATGGCATGATCAAATTGGAATCCGGACAACTAGTTGCTCCCTCATCTCAAGACGGCTCCAAATACATGGTAGTCGCCGATGAGGACGGTGAGACCCTTCGAGTGTACGACCGCTTCTCAGGAGAGCAGATAGAAGATGCTCAGGTAGACTCCAACGGTCTGATACTATTCAATGATGGCCGTATGGCTATTGAGCCTTCGTCTAAACTGGACAGATACGTGATAATTCAGGATCCAAACAGTGATGAGAAATTAGTGTTCGATAGACGAACAGGTGGTCACATCAGGGAGGCTGTGTATAGTGAAGATGGACTGATCCACTTCCCAGACGGCAGGCGTGTTGCACCAGGTTCAACTGACAACAGCTCACAATACCTAATTCATTTCGACGCAGCGAAAAACGAACACCTGGTGTTCGATAGGCATACCGGTGAACTGATCGAAGGAGCCACTGTGGATTCTCAGGGTCTGATAATCCTACCTGACGGAAAACTGCACCTAGATCAAGACAGAGTTAAGCACAGGTACATCGTCTTCAACGACGCAGCTGAAAATTCAACCGTCTTGGTAGATACCAAAACTGGTCAAAAGATTATTGGAGCAACTATGTTAGATAACGGTCTAGCCAAGCTTCCTGATGGGAAGCTCGTTGCACCCAGCTCAAATGAAAGTGCAAATTACATGGTCGTTGAAGCTACTGAGGATGGGCAAGAGCCAATGATATTTGATCGCAGGTCAGGAGATCAAATCAAAGATGCTTACCTGGACAAGGATGGTGTAATACATTTGCCAGATGGAAGCCTAGCCATTTCACCCTCGAAGACTGAAGGTCGTTATCTAGTAGCACAGGACAAGCTGACAGGAGACCCTGTCATATTCGACCGTCGTGCTGGCGCAGAACTCATGAATGCCACCATCCACCACAATGGCATGATCAAATTGGAATCCGGACAACTAGTTGCTCCCTCATCTCAAGACGGCTCCAAATACATGGTAGTCGCCGATGAGGACGGTGAGACCCTTCGAGTGTACGACCGCTTCTCAGGAGAGCAGATAGAAGATGCTCAGGTAGACTCCAACGGTCTGATACTATTCAATGATGGCCGTATGGCTATTGAGCCTTCGTCTAAACTGGACAGATACGTGATAATTCAGGATCCAAACAGTGATGAGAAATTAGTGTTCGATAGACGAACAGGTGGTCACATCAGGGAGGCTGTGTATAGTGAAGATGGACTGATCCACTTCCCAGACGGCAGGCGTGTTGCACCAGGTTCAACTGACAACAGCTCACAATACCTAATTCATTTCGACGCAGCGAAAAACGAACACCTGGTGTTCGATAGGCATACCGGTGAACTGATCGAAGGAGCCACTGTGGATTCTCAGGGTCTGATAATCCTACCTGACGGAAAACTGCACCTAGATCAAGACAGAGTTAAGCACAGGTACATCGTCTTCAACGACGCAGCTGAAAATTCAACCGTCTTGGTAGATACCAAAACTGGTCAAAAGATTATTGGAGCAACTATGTTAGATAACGGTCTAGCCAAGCTTCCTGATGGGAAGCTCGTTGCACCCAGCTCAAATGAAAGTGCAAATTACATGGTCGTTGAAGCTACTGAGGATGGGCAAGAGCCAATGATATTTGATCGCAGGTCAGGAGATCAAATCAAAGATGCTTACCTGGACAAGGATGGTGTAATACATTTGCCAGATGGAAGCCTAGCCATTTCACCCTCGAAGACTGAAGGTCGTTATCTAGTAGCACAGGACAAGCTGACAGGAGACCCTGTCATATTCGACCGTCGTGCTGGCGCAGAACTCATGAATGCCACCATCCACCACAATGGCATGATCAAATTGGAATCCGGACAACTAGTTGCTCCCTCATCTCAAGACGGCTCCAAATACATGGTAGTCGCCGATGAGGACGGTGAGACCCTTCGAGTGTACGACCGCTTCTCAGGAGAGCAGATAGAAGATGCTCAGGTAGACTCCAACGGTCTGATACTATTCAATGATGGCCGTATGGCTATTGAGCCTTCGTCTAAACTGGACAGATACGTGATAATTCAGGATCCAAACAGTGATGAGAAATTAGTGTTCGATAGACGAACAGGTGGTCACATCAGGGAGGCTGTGTATAGTGAAGATGGACTGATCCACTTCCCAGACGGCAGGCGTGTTGCACCAGGTTCAACTGACAACAGCTCACAATACCTAATTCATTTCGACGCAGCGAAAAACGAACACCTGGTGTTCGATAGGCATACCGGTGAACTGATCGAAGGAGCCACTGTGGATTCTCAGGGTCTGATAATCCTACCTGACGGAAAACTGCACCTAGATCAAGACAGAGTTAAGCACAGGTACATCGTCTTCAACGACGCAGCTGAAAATTCAACCGTCTTGGTAGATACCAAAACTGGTCAAAAGATTATTGGAGCAACTATGTTAGATAACGGTCTAGCCAAGCTTCCTGATGGGAAGCTCGTTGCACCCAGCTCAAATGAAAGTGCAAATTACATGGTCGTTGAAGCTACTGAGGATGGGCAAGAGCCAATGATATTTGATCGCAGGTCAGGAGATCAAATCAAAGATGCTTACCTGGACAAGGATGGTGTAATACATTTGCCAGATGGAAGCCTAGCCATTTCACCCTCGAAGACTGAAGGTCGTTATCTAGTAGCACAGGACAAGCTGACAGGAGACCCTGTCATATTCGACCGTCGTGCTGGCGCAGAACTCATGAATGCCACCATCCACCACAATGGCATGATCAAATTGGAATCCGGACAACTAGTTGCTCCCTCATCTCAAGACGGCTCCAAATACATGGTAGTCGCCGATGAGGACGGTGAGACCCTTCGAGTGTACGACCGCTTCTCAGGAGAGCAGATAGAAGATGCTCAGGTAGACTCCAACGGTCTGATACTATTCAATGATGGCCGTATGGCTATTGAGCCTTCGTCTAAACTGGACAGATACGTGATAATTCAGGATCCAAACAGTGATGAGAAATTAGTGTTCGATAGACGAACAGGTGGTCACATCAGGGAGGCTGTGTATAGTGAAGATGGACTGATCCACTTCCCAGACGGCAGGCGTGTTGCACCAGGTTCAACTGACAACAGCTCACAATACCTAATTCATTTCGACGCAGCGAAAAACGAACACCTGGTGTTCGATAGGCATACCGGTGAACTGATCGAAGGCGCTATTGTAGATGATCATGGTGTTATTCATTTCCAGGATGGTGATTTGTTTTTGCCACCGAATATTGTTTATCCTCGCTTTATTTACATGCCCACGCGTTTTGACAATAAATCAGTAGTTTTGGATTCTTTGACTGGTGAGTTTCTGGATGGTTCATTATTGGGCGGTTCCTTGTTCCGATTGTTCACGGGAGATGTAATAGGTATCGGAAATCGAACAGGTGGTCGTTTCGTTGTATATTATGGGGAAGGAAATGATGTGCCTCAAATTTACGACACACTCTCAGGTCAATCAGTTCCTGGAGCTTTCCTTCGCTCAGATGGTTGGATTGAGTTTCCTGATGGTTTCCTTTTTCCAGTGTTTTCTTCTATTGCTGACGGTCAACGGTATTTTATTTATCATAATGTATCATCAATGCAAGACTTAGTTTATGATGCTGTATCAGGCGAACCTGTGCTTAATTCATTTGTCAATGAAGACGGCCTGATTCATTTAACGAATGGAACAATTATTCAGCCCATTGCTTATAATTATTCCACTTCACCAACTGAAGAATTCTCTGAACCTGATTATTCATCAACACTACGTGAACGAAAAAATGCTACATTATATCAAATTATCACAATAAATTCTACTTCTGAAACGGTTAGTTTAGTAGTCATATATGACAACAATGTTATGCTGCTTGACATTTTTAATACCTTGCACACATTCAGCACCAATCTTTATAGCTAAGCCTGTTCATCTGCAATATAAAAGAGATTATGCTTTAACATCTTATGGATAATGTCACTTTCACCGTTTTCTCATTCGTTACATCATTCATCTCTTCTTTTTTGTTTTGTTTTTTCCTTTTACATTGAAGTAAATTTTTTTTGCTTCATTTTACAAAATGTACAAAGAGTTTTAAATGAGTAGGCAATTTTTGTATGCTCCGGTATACAGCCTACAGTATTGTTATGCAACATTTGATGCTTTTTCAGTTTTTACCTGATTTTAACATTGAATGTGTATTATGAAACACTTGATAAGAGATTTAGAATCGATTAGTTTCTAGTTAGTCTACATATATCTACTCATGTATTTGCATAATTACTGGACATTTTGAAAAAAACAAAGCTACTCTAGAGTATGCTCTGGGTCCAATTCCATGTATCTATCTATCTATTTAAGGATGATTAGAAGACGGTGGCTTTACACCAAGTGTTTATTTCAGTCTTCAGCTGATTCATTACCCACCTGTGATGCTATTCTCAAGGGAGGATAACATCACTATCTTCATATGATATCATCAATAGAGTTTGTTATCTATATATGGTACATACATTATTATTTATTACCTGCTCTGGGTTATGTACACTACTACTACTACTACAATTATTATTTTGCACGATGCTTGCTGGTAAATTATCTTTCACAGTTTCTTTACTGCACATTTGAAATATATTCACATTATCTTGTATCTTAAATGGCTATGCCTGTAATCATGAAAACCAGAGCTGGAATATTTATATATACGCTTATTTGATACAAATCAAAAAGCCAAAAGTGAGAAATAAAACAAATTTACTAGAAAAGGCACTTAAAATTATTTCCCTTTATTTTTTCTCTGTAGAGACCTGAGGAAATGGATTTAACTTCTCCAGGTAAGTTTTAAATGATAATAAATAATAATGATAATGATAATAATCTCCCCATTTTTATTGTTTGTTCAAATTCAGTGACCCCGACTGGTCTTTTTGTTACACCAGACTATGACCTATACTTATTTGTATGAGAGTTGGTGGTACTATCCATTTGCCGAGGTTGAAGTAGGCGGAGTGGGATTCGAACCCAAGAAACAGGCTGAATGGTTACAGGATTTCATCATGAGCTGACATTGGTTAGAGAACCATTGGAAAACTATACAGCTGTTTCGTCCTAGTTCGGGGCTCTTCATCAGTACGCACCCACCGGGGTTCGAACCAAGGACTTCCCAGTTACAAGGCAAGCTCGTAGACCATTAAGCCACTGGGACCCTGAAGAGTCCCAAACTAGGCTGACGAAACAGCTGTCCAGTACTCCCAGGTTTTCCAATGGTTCTCTAACCAATGTCAGCTCATGATGAAATCCTGTAGCCAATCAATCAAATCCCTACAAACCAGTACTTAAAACAGGCTGAATGTTTAATTTTACTTCTGTTACCATTATAATTATTATCATTCAAGATAATTCAGCTTTTAATACTGATACTGCGTTGATGGTTAATGGTAATGACTTGAATATGAATTTAAATCACTATTTAATTGAAAGAAGAAATTAAAAGTATACGTTGTTGGTTCACTGGTGGAATGCTCGCTAACTACCCATACATGGTCTGGGTTCGATTCCTGGTCGATACACTCGTAAACCTGACTTGATCAGCGGTAAGTCGGGCAAAGAGAGAAAACGAAATGATTTCTCATGTTCATAGGGGTAACTGGTCAGTTGATTGGTTGAAACAGTTTGCAGTTAGGCGTCTAAGTTATTCAACCAGAGAGCTGTCAAGAACCTAGGCCATATGTTTCGCCTTATTTTGGAATGTTTAAGTAACATGTACTTTAAAAATACATGGTGAATCTAGTCCAGAACAGCCGAGCTTCAAGATCTGTTAGCTAATATTAAATCATGAGTTTTCCTGAAACAATGATGTGACATTTACTCAATGCTACTAGGTTTTCAATAGCTTTTGAATGCAGTTTATAGATAAGATCTATCTTAGGACTAATTCCATAAATCCACACGATTCGTACAACTGCTTAAAAGTATAACATAAACAGTAATAGTTGACCGCTACCCTTATTTGAACAACAATAATCTTAACCTCATGATTTTACACTTTATTACTGATTGTGACAGAAGTTAAAAGTATATCCTTCTAGACTGCTGCATCAGCTTCTCAACAGAAGTTTAGTCTACACTGACTAGATTTATATTTTCAAAGCTAAATTTAACTATACCTCGTCAGTTATTGCTTTATCACATACCAGATACAACAACTATTATCCACGTTCTTCAATAAAACGAGTATTCTAAATTATATATAAAATAAAAAAGTATATTCTAAGCGAATATCTTCCTACTCAAAACTATTCATATTATCAAAATAACATGTACAATAACACTTACCTTATAAGATTAAAATTTCGAAGAATCGACCAGTTACAAGCTAATTCTTGATCTAAATTCAATCTGCATGTTAAACTATACCCTGTTTTCTGTCAATTAACCTGATACAAAAGAATAAAATATTTAAGCGGAGAGAAGAAAATAAGAAAAAAACGGATTCAAACTGATCTTAGAAGTAAACTTTTTAGTTGAACCCTTAACGGATGAAATATTTTCAGATCCTGAATTTTGATTACATAATAGTTCATATTGCCAAGCGTAAATAGACCTTACGTATATTCCTCCCAGACGATGTATACAAGGTCTCTGTTTAACAAATGGTAACAATTTAACAAATAAAAGACAAAGATGATAATTTTACTCCTTTTTATTTTATTCCTTTACGTTCCGAGCGGAAAGTAGGGCTTCAAGCTAGAGGCTTGAAGTTTCGGTAGCAGTGGTATTTATTTTTACGGGATAGGGTTGCCAGCCTCATGCCCAACCTTCCCTCTTTACAAGTCTTATTACTGGCTTAGTGAGGTAAAACAGTGTGTCGACCGGGGATCAAACCCCGAACCACCTGCGTGGTTGGCGAGCATTCTACCGCTGTGCCACTGACGCCCACAATACATTCAATACATTTAAGCGAACATGTTAAAGTAGAGTGTATGTTACTGGAGGTGGGGTGGAGGAGGGAATGAGATGTAAGTCAAAATGGTCCTATCAAGCTACAACTATTGGAACCCTGTCTAGTGACCGCATTCCAATGCAAATAAAAAACAGTTCCTCAGTATTCTTAGGTTTCCAGTGGATCGCTAAATGATATAAATATATGACAACTACTAGTGTTACACAATGATTAGTAACCAGGTCTGTACATTTTTTCAAAGGATGCCACTTGTCCTCTCACTGTGACATCTACATAGCCTAAATCTTTGACCATTAGTGTAAAAATAGTAAAGAAATGAATGAGATGGTTCATTGCCTATCCATTATCCTTTAATAAAACTTCACTTATATAACTATCATGTCAAAACAATTGAAAAAAAGAAACAAGGAGAGAGACGTATGCTGTGATAAAATAGATTTCCAGTAATTGAACAAGCAAAACCTATTCAAGAGTAAATGCACGGTGCTATATACTACTGACTGTCTGATATGAGTAGTTGATTACAACTCACATTAACCAGTAGTGCTTGCCTGCCAGCTAGATAGGAGTGATTTAAACATCAGATGGCCGTTTCACTCGTTTGTGACTGAGCTCATCAGAGATGTACTCGGTTTAGCTCAGCTCAGAGAGGTGAAATTTGAGAGATGAGAGAGTTTGATTCAATTCAAGGGTATTCTTTTCAGAGGGCTGGAAAACACAGCAGTTACGAATAAATTTGTTAGTAATAATAATAATAAGCAGTCGAATACCATTTAGCGAACTTAAACATAATAATAAAATTTGTTTGAATCACCACTTTTCTTGCAAATCGCCTACCTATCACAGTAATTCTAAAAGTTAAAACAAAACTTATACTTAAAAAAAGCTATGCATTCATTTCTCCCTAAATATCCTGATAACAATATTATATGAATTTGTATTTGATTCATAACTAAAAGTCTTTTTTTAAGTACTATTGAATTTCTTCTTTTGTTCTTTTATTTTATATATTACTTCGTGTAGATAAAACTGAACTAGTAAGTCAATCAATTTCTGATCAAAACGAATTATTATCATTTATCGATTATAAATTTGATAAACTGAAAATAAACTCTTGAAACAATGAAACATTATAATGAAATTTTAAAAACAATTTCCTCAGGTGGAATTTTTTGTAAAGTTCACAGTGTTATACAGTAATGTTTACTGATGAGTTTAGAAATATTGTCATAATCATATCAAAATTTCCTCAGGAATTGACATCCATTAGACAACCATTGAAATCTAAAGAGTATTGGATACCTGTCTCGTCCTATTCTGGGACTCTTTAGCAATGCGTACTCACTTGCTGAGTGGTAACGTAGTGTACTGATGATATAAGGATCTTGGGTCAAATCCTGATAAAGTCACGTGGGCACACTGTAGAAGAAGCCAAAACTAAGACGAAATAAATGCTCAGTACCCTCTAGTTTTCAATGGTTCTCTAACTTATGTCGGTAGTTGATTAAATCTACCTTTAAATCAGTGAAATCTCTGCAGCTTAATACTTGAAAATAAATTTCCAATCATATATTTTCCCTTTTTTTCTCTTTTTACTACTTTCAGATAGCCAATGCTAGTTCATGTGCATGTATCGAAGATTTATTTCGACGGGTAATTTCCAAGAAAAGTGGTTTTATTTTTCTTTCATTTTGTGAAGCTAAATTTTATGATATCATTATTATCGTCTTCTTTGTTTCCAAGTGAAACATAGGGCTTCAACACCACATCTCCACTTTGTCCTAACCTCTAAGGTCCTCTTTTGCTGGCCTAACGAATAACCATGGTCTCTCATCTCCCCCACTTACGATCTTCTCCATGTCACCCTCAAACGCCTCACTTGTCTTTTACCATTCCGGTCCCACTCGAGGACCTGGCGCGTGATGTCGAACAATATTTCACGTATAGCCTAACGATTAAAAGATATCCTTTGATGCTGACTAACTTGATACTAATACGTTTATGAATTGTATTCCAAGATGACGTGGAACTATAGATCATTGGCTTAGGCGCTCGACTACCCCACCATCGAGTTACGGGTATAAAGCTCACTGTGATTACCGAAGTTTAGACAGCCAAGTAGTATCACAGAGACCTCACTCAATAAGTTTGATTTTTTGTCAAATGCGCATAAATGCAAATGATTACTGAATAGTGTTTAATTGGTTTTAACAAATAAAGGAACAATTTCAATCTAATTACTTTTATCCAAACATACAAGTAACCAGCCACAATTCGGATGGCATCCATAAGTCAAAAGGCTGTAAATATTTCAGGGTATATAATAATAATTTTTTAAACTTAAATATATTCTTAATTCAGCTTTAGGGAAAGGGTCGGAATCAAGTTGTAAAATGATATAAATGTTTGGTACTCAGCAGCTTTGAATTATAACTTAATGTCAATTTGTAGAGAAAGCCTCCTCCTTAACTAAATCTATGTCAAATATTAATTTGATTCATATTATTACCAACAGTATACGCCATAGTAGATCGCTTTATAGTTGAGTCTAACTTTTACTGCTACTCTCTAATCATTCACAAGGAACTAGCTGGCAGTTTTAACACTCTGAGGGAGACTGTGTGACGTTAAAGGATTTTAGAAGAACACAAATCAATTCTCCCAGCCAAAAATATTTCAAATAGGATAATTACTAATGAAGGTGACTCTAAACTATAGCAGCCCAAAACGAAACTATACCCCTAGCAACCAATCAGATTCGTAAGAAGTAGAAGTGCGCAGTTTGAAATAAACGTCTATATACAGGTAATGCAATGTTAAAAGATGGTTACATAGGATAAAATTCTTGTATATGTTCCAAAAAAACCTCCCAGTTCCTCACAGGAGTCCTCATAGTCAGGTTAAACCAATTTTTGTAAATAAATTTGTCAAGGTCATCAATTCGTTCATCAGGTAGTTTCGTCTTGGGCTGCTATAGTTTAGAGTCACCCTAATTAAAGTATTATCTAAGAAAATGAAAAAGATTAACCTCAATTTCGGTATATCATATACAGAAATTTATAAACAGAATTGTACTATATTAGTATTCTAATTTTAGCTTTCCCATATTTTATGAACAAGTGTTAGTAGTTAGCAAGATGGGCAAACATAAATTGAATAACGGCACCATCAACAATTTGAAAAAGGACTTTCACTAGTCAATCATAAATGTCCGTTAAACAGAATAATACCAGTAAAATATTAATTGAACGTTTTCCCATGAATAATGTAAGCTACTCCGATGTCTCACCTTGACATTAGTAGAGAACTCTAACCTATTTCTGTACATTTATTTATGTCAGTGACCTTATATTCTATTATAGGCATGGTAACTGTACTTAGCTGAGAGACTAAATTCATGTGAAACTGCATGCTCAGTACCTGGACTTCATTCATAGCTAATATTCTAATTGTATAATCTTCCGATTGGTTTGTGAGAAGTTGATTAACTTCCTGGTTGTCTTTATTACGAACCAACACGAAGCAGACAACCATTTAATACTACTGGACAGATGTTCCATCCTTCTATTGATCTCCTCAATAATCAGCAAACACTAATCTAGGTGGAATACAGCTCAGGACTGTTGATCCTCATGATAAGTAAGCTACCATCCAACTAGTCGTTTAAAATTCAATGGATAAAGTTCTTCAACTTTGCGATACTGTTGCTTGAACGTATAGGGTTCAGCTGAAAACCGTTCTTAGGTGGCAATTCACTAATTTAAAGAGCTTTCACAAAGCTTCGAGTACCGAAGTTTAGTCATCCAAATGGAACCAACAACTCCAACTTTAAGATACAGGTAAATAAAATACCTTAGATAATTAAATCTCGAATAGCATATTTTATAATACTTTAATTAGTATGAAATTATAATATTCTTTTAACACAAGCAGTAAATTATAATGTTATATATTTCTCTTTCCAGGGCCTTCTGAGATTGAAAGGAGAAAAGGTGAGTGTAGTCCCTTTTATATTTCACAAAATGACCACCCGATCAATCAACTTACCGAAAGATTTGCATAGGTTAGCATTCAGACAAGTTGAAATCACATCAATTATTTCCAATTGACTGTCTCTGATTTTGTCCCGTATACGACAACAGGTGTCTCACATGTTATCTCTAGATATTGATGCAGACACATGAATTGTAATCGATCACAGTAACCTTCAGGACATGTGACATCTAGTGTTCTGCATTTAACGCATATAACCAATGACTACATGACTTAAATGTCACTCACCTAAGACTGAACAATAGTACCCATGTCAAATCTATAGCCGAAGGTCATCTTACAATCACGTGTTTTTTTGTCTATTGACTGACTCATAAAGAATAAGCCAATAAGAAAAAAGTAGATTAATAGGACATAGACATTTCAAGCAAAAACATCCTCCAATAAAATAAATTATTCTCTCGCCATCAAGTCTGGCTTCCTACAAAAAAACCTGAAATCTGGTGCTGTCTGAGGATGTTATTGAACTACTCAAATACATTTTGGGTGACTGTATCGATGTTTCATTTCAAACTGTATGACTAATTAATTACACTGTTTCGGAGATGATGTGTAGTCACTAGGTGATTCACTCTTACAAATATACACTAATCACCTATTTGAACCTGAAATGTAATCACTGAAATTCCTTTATGGGTAAATTTTGTTTTGATAAAGTTTCACAGTGTTATACAGTAATGTTTACTGATGACGTTTCGAGCACAGTTTATTGTTCATAATCATATCAAGGTACTCACACAACTTTCTAACTCTCCTCATTTAGGTCTTTTTTGTACTACTTAGTAGTACAACTAAGTAGTACAAAAAGACCTAAATGAGGAAATAAAACAGATAGAGGAAGCGTTGGTATCAAATAACTACCCTATAAAATTCATTAGGAAGATCAGTAAAGGCCAAAAGCGAAATAAAAATAATTATGAAACTAGTAATGATAACATAAATAAGAGAGAATACAAGGCATCCACTGTTATACCATATAAGGAGGGGACATCCGAGGCCCTATGTAGGATTCTGAATAAAGCAGGAATTAGAGTGGCATTTAAACCTACAAACTCACTCAGGGACAAGCTCTGTAGGTTAAAGGACCCTGTTGACCCAATTAGACAAAATAATACAATTTACAAAATACCCTGCAATGACTGAGGTCAACTACATAGGTCAAACTAGTAGGTCAGGGGTAGTCAGAGTGTCGGAACATAAGAATTTAGCTAAGGTAAGAATGATTGACCCCGACAAGATAAGTAATTTAGAAAAAAGCTCAGCAATTGCAATGCATGCATTAACACACAACCACACAATTGGGTGGGATAGGTTAAAATTCCAAAAAGTAATCTAGGTAGGTGGAGAGAGAGGTTGATTACTGAATCCTTGTTCATCGAGTCTACACCCAACACATGCAATAGGAATGACTCATCACTCATACCGGAAATATGGAAAATACTACTACCAATCAAATCAAGCGATGGAAAATAATGGAAGTATATAAATGAAGTTAGAAAGTTGTGTGAGTACCTTGATATGATTATGAGCAATAAACTGTGCTCGAAACGTCATCAGTAAACATTACTGTATAACACTGTGAAACTTTATCAAAACAAATTTTACCCATAATGGAATTATACTCTACCACAGTGCACAAGTTTTATTCTTATATCAATGGTAATCACTGAAATATAGATTGCATTTCCCTTCTATGTTATTTTATACTTTTCTAGTTAAAAAAGTGGCAGGGGTCTATGAATCTAAGTTCTAATGTTCTTGTTTACCTATTAGCAGTAAATTTGACAAAAAACGGGGACTCAAATAATCTTGTCTATGAATCTTTGGAACCATATTTTTTTTCTTTTTCAATGATTCAAACAACTTTGTGCGAAGTGTCTGAAGCATACTGTAAAGATTAACAGGATGCTGTAATGGTTTACGGTTTCCAATATATATATATATATATATATAGAGAGAGAGAGAGAGAGGAGGGAAGGAGGGAGAAAAGAAATAAAGCAGATTCTGACCTGCTCAGATAATCAAACACCAATTTCCGACACATCATAAATAAAAACTCCGTATAATCTACATCTTTCAGCTAGCTTTCCATACACGTAGTCTTCCGACATTATTCAAATACAAAGGTGATGTACATTAATCAGCACTACTCTTAACTATTTTACATAAATATATCCTATATTTACCACCTATATCCCTTATCTTGCCAAAACGGGAGAAGATAAGAGAGTCAGTAATGGTTCTTTATTTAGGAAGAACACATTCATACATGCTTAGTCACAATATAGTCCGAATACGTCAGAGAGGAGAATGAGTCGTTCTCATTGGTTAAACAGGCTGTCCAGTGAGTTTATTTCATGTCCACAAGGTAAACTAAGAGCAGATCCGAGGAATAAACACTTTAGCGCCTGCAGCAGTTGACTTAAAATGTTGATTTCAATTTTTGCCACATTACTATATTACTTCTCGTTTGCTAACTATTCTTATCAAGCTAACGAATTTAGTTCTTTAGGCGTGAGCATTAGTCAATATACCAAATGACATTGTAAATCAATAATAAATTTTTGGAGGAGTCAATCCATTGAACTGAGTTTCGCATGTGTTTGTGCTCATAAGCGTAAAGTGTCTAAAACTTTGAGGGAAGTCATAATACCTGCGTTACTCAGTGCTGAAGACTGAAACCCTAATACTAAACTATCCACAATACAGTCTCCTCAAAGTTGAAGATGTTGTGTGGTGATTAGTTTCAGTTTGCACAAAATTTAGTTCCGGAATTTGCTGACTATTGACTCCGAATAAATGACGTCTAACCGTTTATTCTTTTTAGAGTAACCTTAGTTGTTTAACTATTTTGAGCTCCTTCCTAAAAGTTTTTTTCTCAATTTATTCACTTTTAGGGAGATCGTGGTGATGTGGGACCTATGGTATGTTGAATAATTCTTATGAATATTGCATAACATACTAGTTATCATAATAACTATTTAAGATACGTAATTAATTGGTTGAAACCTACTTTTTATCTGAAACCTAAGTCCCTTACATACATATTTTTACTAGTAGGTATATATATATATATGTTATCTGTTTGTAAAGAACGTGCTTGTGGAGATGTGGTAGGACGTTTTTAATGTTCATCTGCTTTACAATTTGTTTCCTATTCAGCAACCAGGTTGTATCAGAAATTCCTACATGTCAAGTTGGATTAAAATCCAACTTTTAGAAATATTAAATTGTTATGATCTTAGAAATTAGCAACTCTCTAAGTGTGAATTCTCTTATATAAGCGCATAAACGCCTTTTTTACATTACAACTGAACACTGGAAAGCAAATGGACTCAGAAAGATTTGATCTACTGATCTATATATCGCTTCATCCTCTTTCTCAACGGTCTGTTCAGAAGGTCTTTCTTCGACTGAAATCTGATAATAAAAGTGAAATAAGAGAACAAGTGTAGTAGTATTAATTGTAGTATGTATCGAAATAATCCCCTTAACTAACCACTATCGAAACGAAAATTATTCTAAACGGGGAGCAATGAATAGCAATTTTTTCCAGTTTTGGATTTTCGAACGAAGTAAACACACAATCCTAGGCATGAGGAGAACTTCATCTGTACAGTGACACACTAGAATCCAACGGATCTCTTCTTTAAGCTTGTGCCATTTTGGAGTATAGTCCAGTGATACTCCAGCTTCCCGCTACTTATTTGTGAATAACAATGAAAACTTGTAATAACTAAATCAACAAAACTGTTTTCTAAAAATCACTTTTAATGTATGAAATACGTGTGTTTACCGACAAATGAATTTTGTACATTTTCAGTGAAAAAGCAAATAAACATTCAAACTTAAACTGCACAGAAAAGAACAAGACTGGTGAGAGGATTAATGATAAAACATGCCGCTAAATACACAAGTATATATCATTTAGTCTTACTAGTCTGTGGCAGTAAATGCTACTTGATAGTTATATCTAGGCAACAGACTTAAGAGGTAAACACATGAAATTTCGTTTTCATGATTTTATGCTAATATATATATGGCCTCTTGCATCAGAAATGCTTCGTTTCTATGTGTATCCTAGTGGAGGTTATTCAAAATGGTTTATTATGGGAGCATACTTTATCATCGCTCATTGACTGCAGACCTAATACTTTTATCGAAACAAAATACAGTGAATATGAAAGAATCGCTAAACCCTACATATGATTTCATAATTTGTAAATGATATTATTCATTTATACATTAGGTGTGATTTATTCGCAGCTTTCTGTAGCTTTTTAAGTTCTTCTTAGAGTTTTAATTCCCCAATGTTTTCTTAACTCCTTTGAGTTCCGAGTGGAACATATGGCTTCAAGTTTAGACTTACAAGTTCTAGCTGTGGTAGGGTTGCTAGCCTCTTGACCAACTTTCCCCCTTTACCAGACTTACTACCTGTCTAAGCGAGGTTCAGGAATACTTGAATCACTGGGCTACCGAAATTGCTTAATTTCATATGGATTTGATTGGATGGAGGATTTCATCATGAGCTAACATCAGTTAGTGAACCACTGGAAAACCAGCTGGGAGTACTGGACAGCTGTTTCGTCCTAGTTTGGGACTCTTCATCAGTACGCACCCACCGACAGCGTTCGAACCCAGGACCTTCTGGTTACAAGGCGAGCTCATAAACCATTGAGCCACTGAGACCCAAAACAATGGCCAGTCCATGAATTCTAACTTCTGCCAATTCACGACATAGCGCGACCATTTCGCAATGTCTTCTTCGATGAGTTACTGCCTCATCTTCAACCTGCTGTACCCTACTGAAAATTAATCTGATGCTCACTAGCGACTGGCCGTATTCAGGCAGTTAACCTGGGGTTCTAGTGGGAAGCCGTGACCAGTAGGGTACAGCAGGTTGAAGATGTAGTAACTCATCGAAGCAGACATTGTGAAGTGGTCGCGTTATCTCGTGAATTAGTAGAAGTAGGAATTCATGAGCTGGCCATTGGATCGGGTCCCGGTGGCAGAATGGTCTACAAGCACACCTAGTAACCTGGAGGTCCTGGGTTTGAACCGTGGTGCTGGATGCGTACTGATGAGGAGTCCCAAACTAGGACGAAATAGCTGTCCAGTACTCCTAGCTGGTTTTCCAGGGGTTTTCTAACTGATGTCAGCTCATGATGAAATCCACCATCCAATCAAACAAAATCCCTACAAAACCAGTACTTGAAAATTCATCTGGATTGGTCATTGTTTTAATCGTCCAGTTGTTTTAAATGACCTACACATGATCTTGTGTGCTGATTTTATTTGCTTCCAAGTAAACGCTGTGCAATTCTTCAACGAAATGAAGACATCCTTTAGATTATTACTTTACATGTAAATCCTGTATGAAGAAAAAAACTATTTTGGAAATAATTACGCTGAAACTTTTTGTACCATATGTTCACATATTGTCTGAATTAAAGCTTTATTATTATTATCAGCTAGGATTCGAACGTGGAGCTGCCGTAAAGTCCTTGTTCGTTTCCACACCATCATACAGAATTTAATGTACGAATGAATGTAATTCAACAAAATCCTGTACAGCAATAATAATTACGATGTATAGTTTTTGGACATTGACATTTAAATATTTCAATCACATATGTAAGAAAATTAATGGCTGAAACTTAGAAATGTATAATTTCACGATACACGAAAAGTGTAACGGTACCATTTTAATTAATGGTGAAAAACAAAAGAACAAAAAACAAAAATATGGTAACTAAATAAGAGTAAACAACATTAAAGAAAATTTCTTCACATTCTTTAATACTTATTTAAGCAATAATGTAAATTAATTTTATACATAAAAACCTACTGGAAATGTCAAGGATTTAGCTAACTGTCAAGGTAATCAAAACATGCTGTAGGTAATGCAAATTTCATCAAAGCTTCAGTATATCAGTTGTCAATTACAACATTAGAGAAGAAACAAATTAATATGAGGCTCAGGGATTATTCATAAGAATTATCAAGTGTTGGTTTGTGGGGATTTGATTGATTACAGGTTTGGTCACGAGTTGGCATCAGTTATAGAACCATTGGGAAACATGGAAGTAATGGACAGCTGTTTCGTCCTAGCTTGAGACTCTTCATCAGTATGCACCCACTGAAGTCCGAACTCAGGACCTTCCGGTTACAAGGCGATCTCATGGAGTTTTCAGAAGTCGCAACCAGCGGGGTCAACCAAGTCAGGTAAGGTATCATTTACCTGCCTATGACATCGACTGGTGGTTGCTCTATACGTATCGTGGATTGGCAGAAGCTGGAATTCATGGGCCATTAGGTCGGGTCCCAGTGGCTGAATGGTCTACGAGCTTGCCTTGTAACCAGAAGGTCAAGGGTTTTAACCTCAATGAGTGAGTACTGTGAAGAGTCTCAAACTAGGACGAAACAGTTTTCTAGTCCTTCTAGGTTTTCCAATGGTTCTCTAACTGATGTCAACTCGTGATCTAACCTATTCATAGAAAATCATCAAATTAATGACCAATAATTCAAATTGAACAGATATATTACTACTCAATAAAATGGCTATAAATTACGATTGAAAGAAGATTTCAGTGAATACTCCTGAATATATTTTACAGTCCAAGTTATGAATACTCTAACAGTTTTGTTGAACTTTATTATGAAAGAAGGCTTGAAATCTGTTGGCACATCTTTCAACAACCACAGCTTTCGATTGTATAATTTCAATTCTGTAAATCCTCCAAGTATAATTTGGGCACTGTGGTAGAGAGTATAATTCCATCATAAAAGCACACAGTGACAGAGTATTTTTTCTAAAATAACGATGTTTCGAGTGCGCCGTCGGTTCAGTGGTAGCATGCTCGACAACCACGGACGTGATCCTGGCTTGACTGATGACCGATGCACTCCTAATCCTCACCTTGCCAGTAGTAAATCCGAGAAAGAGAAAGGGTTGGGTGTTAGGCTGACAACTCCTCCCCGTAAAACGAAACGTCACCACTACCGAAACTTCAAAGCTGAAACGTGATGCCCTAAGTTTCACTCGAGGTGCAAAGGAATGAAGCAAATGACGTTTTGAGCACAATTCACTACTCATAACCATATCAGCGTATTCACACAGGTGAATAACTTGCTTTATATAACCTTTTTCATATTTCCGGGACTAATGTTGCATCATTTCGACTCCAAGTGTTTGGTGTTGATTCAATGAACGAAGATTCTGGGGAAAAAACACGAGGGACTGAGACTATGTAAAGCAAGTTACCAAGTTGTGTGAATACGCTGATATGATTATTTTTCACGAGTTGATCACGGACTGATATCAGTTAGAGAACCATTGAAAACCAGGGAGTACTGGACAGCTGCTGTTTCATCCTAGTTTGGGAATCATCGGCAGTACGCACCCACTGGGATTCGAACCCAGGACCTTCCGGTTACAAGGCAAGCTCGTATACCATTCAGCCACTGGGACCCGATTATTAGCAATAAATTGTACATCAAACGTCATCATTAAATATATAATGTACTACTGTGTGGGTTTTTATCAAACAAACTGATTCTATGATAGAATTATTCATTATTGCAATCGAATCATGATCATTCAGTAGAAAGAGAAGAAACATTTAGTGCAATCAAAGGATTTCAATTTTCAATCAACATTGATAATATACTTATAAGATATATATACAATTATATTCAAGCTTTATGGAGGACTAAAGATGATAAAGATGTCCAAATGGACTTTGAAGTACTAAACAAAACTAATAAGAAAAATACACTGACTTTGATTTCAGCTGCTGACGTTATCAAAGGATTCGCCATTATTAATTCTTTTCAAAGACAGTTTTTATATATGCATACTTAAAAGTCAGCTAACTGAATGAATAATTATCTTTGAAGTTATTATGTCATTTTGAAGCACAACATAATATCCCTTCGGGGGGAGGGAGGTGGATAAAATTAATCATAAGGTGTTTTCGCTGATAGTTAGTCAAACGGCTCAACAGATATTCCCGTTGTGTAAAAGAAATCAATAAAACCTTGTTTAATCATCCAAACTTAACAAAATTTCTTTAAACACTGAATAAATAATCATATAAGACCCCGTTACTACCTGGGAAAATTCAAAATCGCAACTGACCGCCTTTGTTCTGTTTTATCAAGCAGGGGGAAATCAAAGAGAGGTCAGTTTGTTTCGGCGATTGCTTGTATGCTCAGCCATGCCTTCTACAGTTGATTGTAGTACAAGTGAAATCTGATAGTCAGGTATTTTATATAGAGGGTTAATAAACTACAATCGCAAGAATTCATCAGTACAAGAAAGAATAAGCTTAAATGTTTTAGCCTGCCTAGTTAATAGGAGGGAAAATGGACATTTTAGTATATCTATATTCAGGAAGAAAACCCACTCCAATAAGTATCTAGACTTCGGATCATCACACCCCATCAGCCCAAAGGTATCAGTTGTTTCAAGTCTTCTTAGACGAACACACTCTCTGATAACGGATGAGAAAGAAAAAGAAGAAGAAATATCAAACATTACTGAAACTCTCAAGCAAAACAACTACCCATGGAACTTCATCAACAAAATTAACAATGACATTAAGTATGGCCGAAAACACATTACGAAAACATGGACATCAACAGTCGTTATTCCATACAGAGCAGAGACGTCAGACGATATCAGAAGAGTACTCAATCAGCTCGACATTAGAGTTTTCTTCAAAACATCAGACACACTTCAAAGCAATCTTGTCCATATAAAAGACCAAATCCCTAGAGATACTCTATCTGTTTGTGTCTATAAAGTAAAATGCTTGGAATGCGATGCGATATACAACGGACAAACATCTCGAGAAATCAAAATCAGAAGAAATGAACACCGTAATGCATCTGTTTGACCACCGAAAAATCCGGTTGAACTAGAAAAACTTGGAAAATCATCATCCATAGGTCTACACGCTGTAGAATCAGGTCACAAAATTGATTTTGCCAATATTGAAATAATCCAGAAAAACTTTAGAAATCACGAAGAACGTCTAGTATCAGAAGCACTTCATATCAAGTGGAATCCAAGTTGCCTGAATAGGAATGATGGACTAAAACAGAATCTGACCTGGTTACAACACCTCCCTCCCCCATGAAGTGACAAAATCAACACGAATGTGATATGCAAGTTCACTGTGCAAACACGTACTGCTATTATAATTTTACACACTGATCAAATCCAACAATCTACACTTGATTTTGTTTTGTTATCTTTACCAATTGACCAACTTGACAACGAAAAATGACCCCAGACTAACGAACGATGATCAAGTTGGTAAACTTTGTTTTGATACAATAGCAGATGTACTATTACCTTTGTTATTTGGTTTAGTGATCTTCATTGTTATTTTGACTTTCAATATGTCCTTTTAACTTGATCAAAGTCTATTTTCTCATCTCTTAACTCTTTGTTATATATATGCTGAGATTTTGTAAAGTCCGGTTTAATAGTGCTTTGATAAAGCTATTAGCATTACATAGCGAAACGTCAGTAAAAACAACAATATCGTTTTGTTTTTCATTCATTGGAAAATACAAAGACTTTATTATAATATAAATGTTTTTCTGTTAAATTTCAACATTACAGAAAGAAATCTGATGACAGAAAAAGAACAAAGGAATTATTTTTCTAAGAAATTATCTTTAAATTATTACCCATGTTATGTTTACTGGCAATCTTTGATCTTGTTGATTCAAAACAATATCATTTCAGTAATCACCATCATTTTCTCTACATATATATATATATTTCTTTGCGTCCGAGTGAAACATAGGGCTTCAAGCATCAGCTTAGAAATCTCACTAGCTGTTGTGTTTCTTTTGTGAAGTAGAGTTGTCAGCCTCCCACTCAACCTTCCCTTTTTACTGGTCTTACTACTGACTAATCGAGTTCACATTGCGTCGGCCGGAATAGAACTCTCGACCACATAGGTTGTTGGGGAGTATTCTACTCAGAATCAATATGCACTATGAAATGGACTACTTAATATATACATATATATTTATTCTGTCATAGGAGGCAGTTGCTTGATACAGTGGAATCCAAAATATAAAAAGTACTGAGTACTGATCAGTTAAACTGAATGATTAATTTTAATTGTTTTCCGGAGTAATAATTACTGAAATAAACTTCCAGGAAAGTAAAACAGCAAAATGATAACTAATTAATTGTCATTAATGTAGAGAATAATGAACTCTATAGCATGCGTCTAGTGGTAAACAGTCTGTCAAGATTGATGTAAATATCAGTAAGCCATCAGTGGTGAAATAGTAGAATGCCTACCGACCACCCACGTGGTCAGAGTTTGATCCTCGGCCGATGTACTTCTAAACCTCACCTAGTTTACTAGCCGATAATAAGTGTGGGAGAGAGGGAGGGCTGGGCATAAGGTTAGCAATCCCACTCCGTAGAACCACCACCACAGCTACTGAAGCCTAATATTTCACTCAGAACTTTGCTGATTTAAATAAACTTTGAATGTGACCATGTTAGGGGACAAGTTGAAGATTTTATTCCTAACATTTTAAACAATTGTAAATATATGCAAATATGTTCTATTGTAATTTTCATTTTTTTTGTTTTTGTCTTAATACAGGGACCCCAAGGACCTCCGGGTACCTGTCCTGCAACTTGCGCATCTGATGCGCCTACTGCTTTGCAAGTAATTAGAAAAAAACTATTCAAAATGTTTATGTTATTTCAGTAGATAAGATTTATTTCTAATTACAGAGACTCCATTCATGTCTCATCACCTGGCATAGTCCTATTTAATAGAGTATGCGCGAATGACTATTGTAATTGGTAATGTTAAGATTAAAGGTGACAACTTTTGTGGCGCAATCGTGCTGGTCAATAAAATTGCATCAGCTAAGGTGGTTGAGACATTATCAAGCCACCATTTCCGTGAATGAACTTTATTATATAAAATAAGATTGAAACAGGTCATAAAGTCATAAAAGTCTGAATTCTGAGAAGAAGTATAGATTACCTATCTAAGTACTAGAAATAACAGCTAAAAATCGTTTGGTGACATGGATTACAAATTAATTACCATGACTCTCTTGAATTCTTTCTCTGTCAACAAAATTTTCAGTACTTCTTGCTAAGCACTTTTATTAGTTGTTTTTCCCCATTTATACTTTTTTTCATATATCACTCTGTGTTAATTTGCCTTTTTTTCTATACTTTTAAGAAATTGGGTAAGTTTAACTGATAAATTTACGTCCAAGGTTTACCCCTGATATGTATATTATTTAAGATTGTCAACATCTCTGAGATCTGATGGCGACTGCACTGTTTAGATATCTTTTTGCCATGTCCCTTAAGTTTAGACCTAGTGGGTCAGTAGCTAAAGCCTAGACCAGTGGGGTACAGCAGACCGACTGTGAGGACAAATACTCGCCGACGACATTCTCTGGTGATCGCGCCAAATCATGAATTGGTAGAAGTTGGAATTCAAGGACCACTGGATCGAGTCCCAGTGTTTTAATGGTCTACGAGCTCGCCTTGTAACCAGAAGGTCCTGGGTTCGAACCTCAGTGGGTGGGTGCTTCTGAAGAGTCCCAAACTAGGCTGAAAAAACAGCTGTCTAGTACTTTCAGGTCTCCCAACGGTCCTTTAACCAATGTCAGTTCATGATGAAATCCTGAAACCAATCAAATCCCTGCAAATCAACACTTTATAAGAATTTCTGTTTGCCTTAGATCATCAGTTAACACTGATGTGTAAATAGAAATCTAATGACTTTTTTTAGATATCATTTGTAAATTTCTTTTTTTTTCCTCCTTAATTTAAAGGGACCTAAAGGTGACACTGGCCCTCCTGGCGTTTGCACAATTGAACAGTGCAAAGAAGCTGCAATACCTGGACCGCAAGGACCTCCAGGAGAAAAAGTAACTTTATAAATTATGTGCAATATTTTCATAATTCTATGAAAATTTCTATGAAACTCCTTTACCTACCTGAGAAGCATCGTTTCTATCACGGGCGGACGTAACTGATGACGATATCAAACCGCGGATCCGGAAAGCAAGGCGAGATTCCATTACTCTCAAGTCTGTGTGGAGATCAACAGCATTACTCAGCATGAAAAATAAGATCCTGATTTTCAACTCCAATGTGAAGTCAGTGCTACTTACTATACGGATCACAGACTTGGCGCCGCGTCATTACGAGCACTTCGAACAAACTACAGATCTTCATCAGCAGTTGTCTTCGATCAATACTAATCAAGATCAGATGGCTGGCCAGAAAAGATCAGAAACAGGGATCTCTTAGAATGAACCAACCCAGCAGGAACCAATTGTGCAAGAAATATGCAGGAAGAAATGGAGGTGGATTGTCCATACTCTGAGAAAACCATCGAGTGAGTGACATCACACACCAACTCATCGCTCGAGGGGGACTCGAATGGGAAGTGGCGAGTTGGTCATCAGTGCGAGGGTGACATGGAGGAGGTCATGTGAAGAGGAGATGAAAGCATGTGGACAGACGTGGAGCCAGGTGAAAACGTTGACGGAGAACCGAACGCAATGGAGACGTGCAGCTGAAGCTTTATGTTCCTCTAGGAATTAAAGGAAACAATAGTAATATAATAATAAGAATGATTAAATCACTGAGTGGTGTTAAAACATACCCCTAAATTCACTAGTTTCTATGATCATGTTTTGCTAGTCTGTGACAGTAAATTTTGATTGATTATCATATCTAGATGACAGACTTCAAAATTAAACATATAAAATTGTGTCTTCACTAATTTCCTACTAGTATATGAAGCCTACCGTATCAGAAATGCTTTGTGATTACTTGTCTCCTAGTGGTGCTTATTCAGACTAGTGTATTTTGAGGGTATGCTTTGAATACCATTCAGATCATTGTATAAGTAAAATGAAAATTGCCATTTATATCTATGGCTAGAATTTTAACAGATTTATTCTCTAGAATGGAGTTTGAAGTACAGATGTTGCACCGATGTCCTAATTAGTCAATGCCAACTCCGAATGATACCTGTAATTAAACAGTGTTCTAAAATTAGCACATTCAAGAAAAAAGTAACACAAATTGTTAGGACAGGAGGAAACGTATTATGAGCCAGTGTTTTCAGCGTAATCTGTAAACCAAACATTTGACCCTAATGTGGATTAAAGATCACTTCATTGGCTTTTTATTGGTCTATCCTAGCCGGTTAAAATAGCTTTTTATTCCTCTAACTAGCGATTTGTTGGTCATAAGAAGTAATTACATAGTTAGCTGTAATATCTAGTTTTATTGCCTTTTCTCTGATGAAATAGATCTTTACCGCCTCAATTAGTCTTTGGTATTTTCTCACTGTGGAAATAACACTCGAGTGATCGGTCGTATATAGTCGAGCTTTGAAGTAACAGTAGAATAAATCCGAATCTAGTATAGTATTATCTGCGTTACAACATTATGACAATGTCACTTAGACTAGAAAATTATTAATACAGTCTGTAATCACACAGCAACTCATATAATGCGATCCTGATATTTCGTGTAGTTTTGGAATGACCCTTCTAACTAGAGCAGTCAAATAAAACAAAACTTTTAAACTCATGTTGAGTATCAGTTGCCTCAACAATTTACAAATGAACCTGTTTTCGTTCATATGCACGGATAATACATAACAATATAAGAACTCATTAATGACCACTGAAATGCCTGTCTTGTATGTTTCATTTCAACCTGGTTTTCTGCATCAGTTACAAAAGTGCTGAAAAGTGCTACTGATAAGATCGATGAGTAGTATATCAAGAGATATTCATCGACATAAAAAATGAAATAGCAGGGAGATAGATTTGATTTCAGAGGAAGGAAATGATACAGTGTGGCGGAGATACATGGGAGACGTGAAAAGAACACAAAGAAACACAATATGAATGCTAGAAGTACCACAACACGAAGATCTGTGCAAATGGTACGTTGAAGATAAGATGTACATAATTTGGCTACATAGAGATACCAATTCCCATCGCTTTAACCATGTCTTCGCCCTCTACGGTTTCAATATGTTGTCAAACAGCAGCTTAATCCGAGGTCAACCACAGAAACGTCAAGATATATAACGAGTATATTATAATTACGCAAGTTAGTATGTAACTATCTCCTGATGTTCTCTAACGTTTAACAATTTACGAGATGCGGCAATTCAATCCCATAGCTGAACTTACTGTCTGAGGCCCAAACTTAAACTAAAGAATAACCTAGTGATACCTTGACTCTCGATGATTTCTGTTCTTGAAATCAATCTGTTCTCTACAAACTTTTCACTTCTGCCAAATTTCATTAGGAAACAGGTTGAAACAGTGAAAAATTAACATTTATTTATTAAAATGACAAAAAAGACATTTTAGTTTATATAACCTCCTCAACTAAATAACTACAATGAGTGATTATTCAAAATATTTCTTAATTTTTCACATAATTTGTAATTATCCACTGAATAATACTTGAAAAGTTAATAATTAAAAATATGTTACAGCTTCTTTCAAACGAATGATGTATGAACTAACATCTATTACAGGAAAGAAGAATAACGGATGTTTTCAATAGTATTGTGTTCTCTAGACTGGACAGTTTAACTGCGAACCTTTTATTATCCTTCTAGACAACATTTTCAGGGGCAACATTGAAATGATGAAGTAATTAAGTCGTATATTTCAGCTAATACAACAACACCTGAAACAGAAGAGAATAAATGAATTATTTTTCCTAATTCTTGATAGATTTTTGGTTTTATCCTCCTTTTTTACAATGCATCATCATTTTTATCGATTTTTACATGTTTTTAATTTATAGGGTGATAAAGGTGATCCAGGAGTAGTTGATCTTACTGACGATAAATCACTTTCTGTGGTGAAACAAGCTATCCAAGATTTTATATTACAACCAGTAAGCAATAAATTACATACTGTTTCCAATGTGTATTAATATTTTGTTAATTATTTCAAACAAATAAACTTGGGCGATTGGAAGCAGTCAGTAGGAAGCCTTGAACCTAGGCACACGTCAGCAAGGCGTATCCGCAAACTTGAGAGGAACTCACGTCACCTCCGTAATTCGAACCCCGCGTCATCCAGTGCCGCAGCCATAGACATAACCACTGAGCCATTCAAGCCCATGGTTGACCTCCTATAGGACTGTAACTGTGAGTCGGTGGCACAGCGGTCAGGACTCTCGCCGACCATGCACATGGTCTGAGGTTCGATCCCCGGCCAACGCACACCTGATATCAATGGTTGGCCTGCAAAATTTGGGCTACCGATATCACATGCTGAAAATTCCATACTTGTACCTAAATACTGTGTGGAATCAAGCTATAATAAATTTTTTTTAAATAAATAACGGATACACTGATTGACCACTAGGGTATAACCAATATCATTCATCGAACATCATTTCAGAGTGCACCGTGATGACAAAGCACCTAACTTGGTGACGACTAAACTACAGACTTGACCCACTAGAATTCAATCTACACCTCCATCAAAGATTGGAGGCGTGACATCGGTTGCTCTCTAGAGACAAATCAACGTAAATAACCTTGGGATTGGAATTCAGAGGCCGGTATTTCAAACCCTGCTACAGACAATATTTTCATTTTACTTTCAATCACCACCCATCACATCAATATCAGTCTATCAATCCAAGACTGTATTTTTCTTGAATTTGATGATAATTTATAAGAACCAACTGTATAAACAAGGATTAATTAGACGAATGGTGACTGACTGACACTCACCTCCTAATGCTGCAAGATACGTTTGAAAAGTTCATACTTTGACCTTTAACTTTTATCTGTTGAATCAAGACAGAGTTTCAAACTCACCAAATTTAATTTAAGTTTCATGTGTAAAGTCGTTATATTGAAACGTTACTTTGACATGAACTCAAAAGCGTTGTCAAAGCGTTCATACTAAGAGATATTATATCAAAAAAGATAACCCATTTCTTTCCATTGAAAGTCACTAGGAAATTCAAGGATTTAACAAATAATAGCTATTACCCATTATACAAAGGATGGCTCTCTTGACTTAGTAGCCTAGAGGATTTGGACAATCTGGGGAACGAAACGATGGGTGCTGAGTTCGATTCTTAATGAGACCAGCACCACTCACTGTGATGTAGGTACATTCAGCTGGTGAGTCCTGAATAGGACGAAATGTGTATTCTGGATCCCACTGCTAACCATCACCTTTCAAAGATCGAAAATGCCCATTCATAGAGAAATCTTATGAAGTCATCTTCAAAGGCTGCACAATCCTATTTATATTCACTATAAAGGTATAATGGTCTACTTTTGAGCAATAGGGAGTGAGACATAATTCTTGAAGTTACTCGTAAATAGTTTATAAATATGGGGAAAAAATTACGTAATAATCATCAACAAAATATAGGTAAGGGTTCGAAATTCGACAAGGTGTTATTAGTTCACTAACAAACTGATAGTGTCCCAGTAAAAAGTTTGAGGAAGGTAAAATGTATCAAAGGGACATTTAGGGAGTGATAATAATGAATTACTTACTAAAAATAACAGCAAAATAAGTAGAAAAGAGTTGGAGATTACGGTAGAATACAAACTACACAACCTTTTTCTGTTTGGTGTTCTGCTGACGGATTGCTTACTCCTCTTTCGCTCAAGAGTATTGAAAATGAACACCCCCTCTTCCATTTGACCTTTCTACATAAACGGGACTCCGAGGGAGCTGTGCGACTTGAATTCATCAGACATTCGATCGGGAATTCAGATAATGACTGACTTACAAAAACTCAACTTTTGTTTAGTAGTTTCTACTATATTTCTGTTATATTCCTAATGTTTATTCTCCTTTCTATTTTTCTTTCTTCTGCTGTTCTCTGTTTTGTAGGAGATTCAAAAACAATTTCGTGGACCAAAAGGTGATCCAGGTGAATGTTCATGTTTAAGTGATGCAGCAGATAATAATACACCAATGAAAAAATATTCATCAAATAATAAACATTATGATTATAATAATGGCAATGGGAATGGGAATGGCAATAATAATATTAATGCTGAAATTGCTGGTTATGGTGTAAGCGAATACTTTTATTTCTGTAAATTTCTATTTAATTTTAAGTAACTTAAATTTAACAGGGGTGAAGATCATATAACTTATGATGTAAACAAGAGTTATTCGATACTTTTTTGAATAGCTTTCATAAGTAAGAAGTCAATAGTGTCTTTTGAACTTTTCAGTAATATAGTTAAGGCAGTTTTCTCTTGTAGTTTTTATGCAACTACAGGCGGAACGAATGAAGATGTCAAAGCCAGCCAGCCAGAATCAGAAAGGCAAGATATGCCTTCATCAACCTGAAATCAGTTTGGAAATCTTCCACACTTAGCATAAGGAACAAGATTCGCATTTTCAACACCAATGTCAAGTCGGTTCTTCTATATGGGTCAGAAACTTGCACTGCGTGTGAATCACGAAAAGGATTTCCAACAGGTTGTTGCAGACTTTTATCAACAGCTGCCTTTGCTCCATACTGAAGAGCAGATGGCCAGAAAGAATAAGCAACAAGAAACTATGGGAACAAGCCAACCAAGAGCCGATCGCTCAATAAATATGTAGGGGAAAGTGGAGATGGATCGGGCATACATTGAGGAGGCCGCCGAATGACATCGCGCGCCAGGCCCTCAAGTGGAATCCAAATGGGAAGCGGCGAGTGGTTCGTCCCAGGGTGAGGGTGACATGGAGGAGATCGTGTGAGGAAGAGATGAGAGAGTTTGGTCAATCGTGGACCCAACTGAAGAGGACGGCCGAAAACAGAACAAAGGAGAGATGTGTTGTTGAAGCCCTATGTTCCACTCGGAACGCAAGGGAATAATAATAATACCTATTTGTAATTGTAATCCTAAATAGCCAAACATCAGTAAAACAAACAACAACACGGAAAGGATAGAAGTCAGAAATTCGTATTTAGCAGAATTGTTTGTGTCATGTACACACAATAAATAAAAACAAATATTACTGAACATTTAAACAACACGACAATGAGAATAGTCAATCACCACATCAACTTCATTACGTGATCGTTAATTTCCTTGTAATTATTACAAATTCAGTCAGTTTCTACTGTGTAAAATCTTATTATATCTTGATATGATTTCGTTTCGCCTTACAACTCATCAACTGATGTAAGTACATATCCAACTAACTAGTTCGTGAACCAACAGTTCAGTGGTGGAATACTGTCCAGTCACTCAGATGGTCGACACACTTGTAAACCCTGCCTAGCATATAGTAAACCCGGAAAAGAGGGAAGAGCATAAGGCGGCTAGCAACCAACTGCCATAAGTACAGCATCACCGCTACTGAAAATTCAAAAGCTTGGAGCGCTGTACTCCATTCAGAATGCAAGAGAAACGAAAGAAAAACTTAACACAAGTTGAAAAATAGAAAGAGCTCAGTCTATTGGTCCTATGATTAATCATAGTGATTATAGTATAATAATATAATAGTAATAATACGATTATAATGTGCCCACTTTGTACTGACAAATACAAAATCCAGTGAAATCCACACTTTCAGTTAACATCAAATATAAATTACTTTAAGATAGACATTTATACAGCCGTATTAATTAATGTATATCAACAATTGGCTATCTAAGAATAATTAAGGAAAAGTAGGCTGTCTCTCTTACACGCACAAATTTCACCTCTCTTGCAATTAGTAAAGTGTCTACTGATGTTAAGTAGTCTGTAGCAGTCACCAGGGTGTCATAGATGTATGTTTCATGCTTAGTGGCTTTATCATGGAGATGTGAATGGTGGACACTGACTACAACATTGAATGGGACTTGTTGAAATCACACAACAGACATCAATTCCTTCGTTAGGTACCAAAAAGTATGAAGTCTAGCTTCACGGCTTTCTCCCGATTATCTCCAACCTTTTAACATCATTTCAAAGTGGACCGTTGTGACAAGTCATCTAGCCTGGTGATAATATTACAAATCTGACTGATGGAATCCTGACAGTACCAGGGCTACTGTCTGAACAATTAACACTGGTCACGTCCTAGAGAAACAGTACGCATAGACACACGCGCCATTATTTTCTAATAAATGCTTGCCAATAATTCTAATATCTGAAAATTATTCTTTATTTTTTGATAAGTATTGCATGAATTATTATTCATATATCTAAATAGAATTATTTTTGTTTGACATTACTGTAATTTAGTTAGTTAGTTAAATTACAATAGTGTTTTGTATTCAATGTCAAATGTCAAAAATTAATTTTACTATTCATTCACCCTGTCTTATCCATCCAAACAAATATGTGAAGTGTTTCAAGTTATTCAAACTGTGAAAACAGGAACAACATCCACTAATAGTATACATACATATACATAGATTGATCGTTAGGATATACAAAGGTATATACTTATAAGTATGAATTTGATGTGATCATTTGTAATGGTGCCAATCAGTAATTCAAAAATCTCGTCGTTCTATAACATTCATTTTACACGGTTAAGTTCAAAATATGACAAGAAACACATTAAATAATAATAATAATAATAAACATATAGTACATACTTAGATTGTAGGTTTCTGTAGGGATTTCGATTAATTTCAACGTAAGTTTTGTTACGAATCAACATCAGTTAGAGATCATTGTAAAACCAGGGGTCACTGGGCATCCGTTTCGTCCTAGTTTGACTCTTTATGTACACGCTCACGACCACACCAGATATGGAAGCCGGTACCTTCAGATGACGAGACCATTCGGCCACTTGGGCAGGAATTCAATAGCCCCTGAATTCTAACGGTCAATTCGTAGCATAACGCTACCCTCAATTAATGCCTTCAGGGAGCATCCACTTCACCTTGACATTGTGAACCTCACTGGTCACGACTTCTTAGTGCAGCTTCAGGACATCCATTCAGTATCCATCAATGAGTTGGAGATTGATATTTAGATTATGACGTTTTTGAAGGGATATGGAATGATTTCAGTGTAGAAGGAAACAGCTGTTCGGTGTTTCCTGGTTTTCTATGGTCTCTAATTGATTTTAGCTCATGATGAAATCTACATTGAAATATAATACTAAGGTTAATATAATTGGAATTTATTAAAATACAAGTGTTTAGTCATCAAATCAAACAGAGAATGGTATTGAAATAGTATCCAAAGTTGGATCAGTGGAGATCTGATTGATTTTCATGAACTGATATCATTCAGTGAACTATTGGAAACTAGAGAGCATGCTGGTCTGAAGGTCTTCAGTAGTGAGCACATATACATCTACTGGGTATCGGGTTATGAGGCGAGCAAATTATTATTATTCTTTCCTTTAATTCCTAGAGGAACATAGGGTTTCAGCTGAGCGTCTCCACTGCGTTTCGTTCTCTGCTAGAGTCTTTACCTGGCTCCAAGTCTGTCACACGTTTCATCTCTTCTTCATGACCTTCCAAGTCCTGCGACAATCGCCTTCCTTCGTTCCACTCAAGGGCTTGTTAGTGATGTCACTTGTGGTTTCCTCAGAGTATGACCAATACATCTCCATTTCTTCCTGCCTATTTGTTTCACAATCGGTTCCTGGTTGGTTCGCTCATTGCCAGAGATCTCTGTTGCTGATATTTTCTGGCCGGCCATCTGATCTTGAATAGTATTGAGCGAAGACAACTGTTAATGAAGGTCTGTAGTTTGTTTGAGATGCTCTTTATGACGCGCAGTGCAAGTCTCTGATCCGTATAGTAACTAGCATTGACTTCACATTGGAGTTGAAAATCCGGATCTTATTTTTGATGCTTAGTGCTGTTGACCTCCACACAGACTTGAGAGTATATTTTTTCAATTCATCACCTTGTTTCTATGTTTATTGCAAATTTCACGGAATCCATTTCGTGATTTACAATTCCATTGGCTCATAACAATATCATTTCAACAGTCTTTATTATATGAGGTATAAATAAAAGTTTATTCTCTAATGAACTTCTCAGCATCATATCTAAAGTAATTAGTCAGTAATAAATAATTCTATTGAGGAGTCGTTACTAGTAGGTTCCTCCAAGTTGAGCGTAAGGAGAAATACTCGTTCACAGCAATGGCTAGTTGTGGAGCTATATATATGTCGCGAACTGGAAGAAATTAGAATTCATGGACCATTGCATTCCGTCCCAAAAGCTGAATGGTCAACGAGTCCCCCTCGTGACCTGCTGGTCCTGGGTTCTATCTCTAGAGGTTAGATCATCGGTGCGTTCTGGATTTCACTGGCTCTCTAACTGATGTCCATCCTTATATCAATCTAATTAATGCAAACCAACACTTGAAAATAATTATTTCCGATTACTATCGTGTGCGTCGGTGGTCTGGTGCTAGAATACTTGCCAGTAACGCAGGCAGTCCAGATTCGACTCCCAACAGATGCAATTTTAGACTTTACTAAGTTCACTATCCTTTAGTAAGAGCAGAAAGAGAGGGAAGATTGGGTGTGAGGCTAGCAACCCCACCTCATAAAACAGCACTACTGATACTGGAACTTCAAAGCTTAAAACTTGAAGCCATATGTTCCATTCGGCACAAAAAGAATGAAGAAAAGATTATACTGATATTCAGGGTTACGTCATACCTTATTTATGCACTAGAGGTGAACTTCTGAAAGCTATCCAGTTGATAAGCTAAATGCCTAACAAAAAATCAGTGTGTCGTCTTCACAGTATACTTCACATATAAAGTGATTTGTTGCCTATAGTCTCGTTTTTGGCTGGTTGATTATCCATGAAGAATAAAACTGTATAATATCAGGGTAATGCTCAGAAATTTATAGAAATAACTTAACTAATTAGTCAAATAACTGAGGAGAACGTTAGGAGACCGCAAGTAGGAGACTCTACTTGACTCAAACTGAATAATTTTTAAGAAATTTATTTCACTATTTGAGTTTTAGACTCAAGACACCTGTTACTGAAATAAAAGACGGTGTTACAGCGGATTTCAAGCGAAGTATCGTCTGATTTCAGTTACTCAAAACTAAACAGTATGCACGGGAATATTCCTTTTCCGAACTTATTGGTCTTACAATATACTTTATCAGTAGATTTCAGTAATCAGTGGAAATGCTTGTCAGCTAGTAATAAACTTAACATAACTAATGGTTAAGTACAACTTCTGGTGAATCTTTGTGAAGAAAAGAGTTGCTAGTACCCTATTAATTCTCAGATACCGTCACTTATCAGTGTAATATGAGTAATATTTAACTTATTAATTGTCTACTAACACGAGGTATTCAGAAAAAATTAATACAGACTACAACCCAAAGAGTTTTAACCTATTTTCTTAGTGGATATGCCTTATATTAAGATTTTAAATAAACATCAAGATCTTACCTTCATGAACATATATTCGAATGCTCTGCTTATATTTTTATTCACATGGGTTCCGAGTAGAGCATACGGCTTCAACAGCACATGTCGACTTCACTATGTTCTCTATAGTAATTTTAGCTGGCTCCACGATTGGCCATAAGCTTTTATTTCCTTGTCATACGATATACTCTGTGTCAACTTCAGACTGCCAACTCGCCATTTCCCATTCCGGTTCAGCTTGAAGGCCTGGTGTGTGTTATCACTCAACTGTCTTTTCAGCTTATTTTCATTCAACCGTTGTTTTCTTCTGCATATTTGTTGAGCAATAGGTTTTCGATTAATTCGCCGACTGCGACAGTTCCTTGTTGCTAACGCTTCCTCGCTATCTAGTCTTTTGAATACAGTGAAGGTAGCTATTGATGAATGTCTTCAGCCTGTTGGAAGTTTTCTTATAAATTGGCTCGATTTGAAATCTGGTAGCTGTTATGGTTAGGCTAGAACAGCATATTGGTAATTTCTACTGTCAAGCTGACATATCAGATTTAGACGGAAGCAGAAGAGTAAGTCTAATTGAGACAGAAAATATTCCTCACTGATAACTTTCAACAAACACATGACCCACATTTCAACTTCTGCATTGACTGACAATTACCTCTGAACGCGATATATGCGCGTACTTATTTAGCAGTTTAGCTCTTGATGTGTACTTCACTCCATAAGGGTAAACAGAAAACCTTTAATCAGGATGAATAATTACACTATGTTTGTCAAATTACTTTAGTAAAAACTTATTACCATACGTATACAACAATTAGTTATATGTTTACTTAAATGTAATAAAAGTAGTATGTTTTCTTATACTGTAGCGGTAGAAGACGAAAGACTTGGTAAAGGAATGATTATTTGGAATTTGACATCTCTATATAACGAAATTATGTACACCTTATCCCCAAATCGTCATTTGCACAGATCCTCCGTGTTGTGCTACTTCTCGCCTTCCTTCATATTGTGTTTCTTCGTGTTCCTTTCACGTATTCCATGTTTCTCTGCAACGCAACGAATCATTTGCTTTCTCTGACATCAAATCTCTCTATCTCCCTGTTATTTGATGTTTTTATGCCGATGAACATCTCTTTGTATATATACTACTGATAAATCTTATCAGTAGCACACACCACAATACTACTGATTGATTAATATGAATATTTGGATACTACCCACAGTAATCAGTAGTGCCTGCTTTCTTGATTGCCACTTATGATATCAAGCAGATCCTACATTATGATTTCAGTAATTTTGGTTTCTAAAGGATACTGGGGTGAAATTTCACCTCGAAGTGTGTAATTTGCAAATTGTGAAGTTGATTTTTCCTATACTTAATTCACTGTTTTTCTTATTGAGTCATTTTTTATTTTTATTTATTTATTTATTTATCTAATTCATTTTATAACAAAAAAAACAGGCAATGGTATTAGATACTGAAATGGATTTGAGTAAAGTATCCCATGCTTTTCCTATTGGTACTATGGTTTATATTAAAGAAGCGGATACATTTTATTTAAAGACAATTGAACAGACCAATACATGGCGTATAATAAGTCTGGTAAGTTCTCTTATTTGTTTCCTTTTATTTTATTTCACATTTTATTGCTGAAGGGTGAAATTTAATCATACCTCGAATACATTTTAATTTTAATCTTAACAATGACGCTTACTTCCTTAACATTCACAAATGGGGATATATTCTTCTCACAGATATTATCACTGTTATTAATATTACCACTGTCAGTACGATCCAACGTAATATTCATTTGCCTAGTTTGGTGTGGTTGAGGATACCGGAATTCAGTGACTCGTCGACACTTGGTCTCCTTCGCTTGGGTTTGAATCTCATCCCCGTAGCTAAGATGTTATATTTGCTGCATCTTCATACAAATAAAGCCAACGTTAATAAACCCTTGATAATTTTCTTCTTAAAAAATTTAGTACATTCTATAGAGGTTCCATTGAACTGCCCACATTGAATCAGATGTCAGTAGTAATGAAACTGAACACATTAAGATAGGCTAACTGAATACCGATGATCAGTACCCGAACTTCCAATTCACTGAGCCACATAAATATCAGAAGACAAAGTCTGCTCTTGGGCTGTAAGCACGATCGTATTCGATTATTTCTGTAGGCCTACAGTAAAATGGCTTATTCTGATTGGCTGTTTGGGACACAGAATTGTCCAATCAAAATAGTCTCTCCGTATAGTGGCCTAAATCTAATTAGAAATACAATTATTATCCTACCAACTTAAAATGTTGATTTGAATTTTATGAAGTTTCTCCCAAACAGAACAAATTAAACTTTTGATACTCCAGTTACAGGCAGCACTGTGAATTGTTTCAATGAATATTATCTTTTATACACCTCTAAATACCCCCGTTTGAACTAGGTCTACTAGGATACAAGTAAAAACAAAGTATTCCTGTTGCAATAGGCCACATATACTAGCATGAAACGATGAGAAGGCAATTTTATGTTTCACTTCAAGATCTGCTGTCTAGATATGACTATGAAGCATCATTTACTGCCACAGACAAGCAAGAAAAAAGTTGCTTCAATTCAAAACTCAGTGTCAAATGTTTGAAAAAATATTACTTATATTTTTACGTGAACATAGCGACGAACCATGGTGCTACAATAAACATAGTTAGTAGATTAATAAGTTATGAACCGACTCACAAATAGTAAAATGATTAGTTTGAAAATTGTATTAAGGTTTGTCGTTGACAGGTTAAACTGTCATTTTTCAATGGTTCTTGTCGGCCGCCTTCAACTATTCAACATTATTTCAAAGTGCACCAATATGGCAATTCACCTAGCTTGGTGAACATATTACAGTCTTGGCTGATAGTATTTAGTCGGCACCGATACTATAGACTAGACAAATGACATTGGTTATTCGCTAGTGATCAAGCAATATAAATATGATTGAGCTAAGTTATACAAAGGCAATTACCTGCTAATTAAAGTATGTTCCACAGGTACACGACCTGCCTTCACACGTCTTTCTACTAATTAGGTCATTTCAATAGCATATGGAGAAGTATATCCTTAACTAGCAATCCACTAAAGTTATAAATGTCACAAAGATCTAACAATATCCAATAAATATAATTACATATGTTATATTGCTGCAGTATATTTCTCAGTTATAATTCATTCAATAATTTCACTAGTGTAACGTAATTATGAAAGGTATTTCAGTGGTAGGTAGATATTGGAAATTTCAACTATATTCCACTTTTTTTCAACACAAGAAGAATTTTATTCTACCCTACAGTATACTATATATATTTCAATGATTGTGTTAAGGTTATGTTTACAGAAATACTTTTTTTATTGTACAAAAAGTAGTTAGTGTGAAACTAACCCATCGGTACTGAAGAAGGTCAAAGACATATATATATATATATATATATATACTAATAAATCTACTAATTCGATCCAGATTATGGAATTGTATACACCTTACTGAAGATTGATTTGATTACATATCTACACAGTTAAATCAGAAAACCATGTCAATTTTTCAGATTATCAATACATTTCAAGTGTTGGTTTGTAGGGATTTGACTCGTTACAGGATTTTCATCATGAGCTGACATTAGTTAGAGAAGTTCGATTTTATGGGCCATTGGATTGGGTCCCCAGTGGCTCAATGGTATACGAGCTCGCCTTATAACCAGAAGGTCCTGGGTTCGAATCCCGGTGGGTGCTTACTGATGAAGAGTCCCACACTAGGACGAAACAGCTGTCCAGTACTCCCAGGTTTTCCAATGGTTCTCTAAATAATGTCAGCTCATGATGAAAATCCTGTATCAATACACTTGTTGACTAAGCGATCAGTACATGCGTATATTACTTACTTATACGAGTTTTCATAACAGTAGTTCGATCAAAGTTGGATAAGCAGCGGTGTGAAGGTTCATGAGAACTGTTTAGGACAATACTCAACAACTAGAACAGATAAAATTTCTCTCTGTACACCTAATACAGTTACTTTCACAAAAAGAAGTATATTAGTATGTACATTATAATGTGGTGAGCATGGATGGTTTGTCTTTTTCTATTATTTGAACTTAGAGGGCATAAAAAGTTCATTTTACAGTCTTCTGCAAACAATCTTTAAAAAATTTGAATTATAATAAAGATAACTCCATCTTAGATCCAGTCTTCTAAATTAATTTTTAGCTTTCTGTGTTGATTTGGAGTACTTGTTTATAAACTTTAGCCTCAAGAATTTCTCTTCTTACCCACAATCTGTTAATTGAACAGATTCGTCTTGATAATTTGTATTTGATATTTGACAAAGATATTAAACTGTAGGAACTGTTCCCTCAGTGTTAACTTTCAGTATATAAATTTCTCATTTGAAGCATCAGCCAGTTTAAGCAAATTAACAACTGAGAAATGGATAGTTTCGCTATCTTTATGTTTTGTTATAATTTTTTTAGTCAAATGCACAAATTAAATTTTCCCAACATTTTCTTGGCTTACTTCTTACTTCATATACAGTGGACATATCATCCATTTGCAGTAAGCATATTTCATCTTTACTTATGCAATCATTTAAGGAGGTAGCCGAAAAGCTGACTTAAAACATGTTTACAAATAAAGGTCATAGTGGATTTCCTATTACGAAACCATCTATTTGATAATACAGTGCATTACTGGGCGAAGTTAAAGTGTCATAGCTATAATTTAATTTGTGGATGGTGACTAGCAGTGAAATCCAGGATGTACCTGCATTTCCTAGTGAGTTATGATGCTCCCACCGAGGCTCGACCCCAGTGCCCATAGTTTCAAACGCCAAAGCGTTACCCACTAGACCACTTGGGCCACGAGAGCCACCTCTTGTGCAACGGGTCATATTTAGTCCCAAATAAGATGAAATACGCATCCTGGATTCCACTGTTACCATCCACAAATTAAATTCTAATTAAATGCCCAGACATCGTCAAAGCATCTGCACAAGAAGCCGACATGTCAACCTGAGACTGAGCACTTCGGTCCAATCAATCGACGGGAAAATCTCAAATTCAATTATATCATAGCTTTAGTCAAAGTTTTTCAAATGTAGACCTTCAAGAACCGATCAGGCACATGGAGTGCTATGAAATATCATTCCAAATCAAATCATGCCTGTCTTTTTGGACTTGGAGAGGATAGATCTAGTATTCTACTTATTTACTAGGTACTTCTTCGGCAAATCTATACTGTTAGATAGAGTTATGGCTTTTAAGATTAAGGTTAGGTTTAGGGTTAAAGTTAGGATTGGGAGTTAGGATTATGATTAGATTTAGGAGTAGGTTGAAGAATAGTTTCAGAAATATCAACGGATCTCAAAGCACCATGACCTACAGTCAGCTGGATGAATGGGTATATCACGTATGGTATGATTTTTCTATAGATCATCTTTGTATTGACTGGGAGACATTCTTATAACACATAGGCTACAACTATACAGTGTAATATCAAGTGTATTTTTCAACGATTGTGTGACTTTTTTGCATCTGAGTTCTGATTGGTTGTTCAAGGTCACTGTAGTTTTGACTATGATAGTTTAACTTACTGAATACGAACTGGTTTATACAATTACCTGTTATGTAAACTGCATTTGCTTATAAAATCTTACTTGCCATTTACTACAATCCGGACATCATTTGGGAGCTTCTCGATCACACTGCAAACTTGACTGGTTGAATTCAGTGTACAGTACGGAATAAACAGCATAACACCGTCCGACCTTTAGTAGATCTTCTCTTAAGGGGAGAGGTTGATAGAGGAACAAGTAACTCAGATGTAACATTTCTCACTCCAAAACTACATGAAGCGCGTTTGTATATTCATTTCCTTCATGAAATTTTATAAGTTAGAAGACAGTACACAAAATGAATGAAAGCAGAACTATAGAAACCTTTATGTTGATCAACCTGCAGACGTTATTTAGTTTTAATATCCTACAAGTATGAATTATATAATCAAAAGATAAGAGGTAAAATAAATCTCTATCTTATACTCCAAACTAATATGATGACAGGGAAATAAATAACACTTAATTGCTTCAGAGATAAATCAGCAACAATAAAAATGAAGAAAGCAGTTTATTTCTTGACTGGCGGCATAAATACATCTAGTCCTATAAATTATTTATGATTTCTTAATGGAAGTGACATTAGTTGGAGAATCACTGGAAAGTGAGGAGCACTAGAAAGCTGATTCTTCCCAGTTTAGTAAGCACCAACGATCCCATATGGGATCGAACCCAGAACTTTCAGATTACAGATGAATCCGTTGATCACTGTGCTGCCGAACTCGACTCCAGCTAATCGTGAATTCTAACTTCCTGTCAATTAACAATACAGTGCCACTACCAACCGACGCTACTGATGGTCATCCGTTTCGCACTCAACATAGTACCCTTTTGGTTTCCAATAATTATATAAGAGATGTCAACTTACGACAAAATCTACATTGAGGGAAATAGTTTATTAAGTAACCCGTGATTATGCTATTGACTACAGGACAATATTTACTAATATCGTTTGGATTCTCACCGTCAGCATATGGTTACCTTTATCTGTCAGTCTGACTCTTTAACCTCAATTTGAGAATATTGTCTTAAATGCACTGTCTATTTGTTTATTTATTCTCTACAAGAAAAGTCTGTCTGCTTAAGAAACACTTACTTTTCCTTTCATAAAATTTATAAAATGTACACTAAGTACTTTTCAAATGATTGTCTATCCTCAAGTATTGGTTTGTAGGGGGTTTTTGTTTGATTGGTTGGAGGATTTCATCATGAGCTGACATCAGTTAGACAACCATTGGAAAACCTACAAGGAGTACTGGACAGCCGTTTCGTCCTAGTTTGGGACTCTTCATCAGCACGCTCCCACACTGCGGGGTTTGAACCCAAGACTTTCTGGTTACAAGGCGAGCTCATAAACCAGTAAGCCACTGGGACCCGATCCAATGGTCCATGAATTCAAACTTCTGCCAATTCACGACATAGCGCCATCACTAGCGAGAGTCATCGGCGAGTATTTGTCCTCACACCCTATGTGCTGTACCCTACCGGTCACGACTTCCCACTAGAACCCCAGGTAACTACCTACCTGAATAGGGCAAGTCACTTAATTTAAGCTGGGTCCTGGGTTCGAACCCCGCAGTGTGAGTGCGTACTGTGAAGAGTTCCAAATTAGGACGAAACAGATTATCTATCCATTAAGTTTTTTTAGTATATTCAGAAGACTAAAAGTTCATCTTTCGGTCTTTTCCTAATTACATAAAAATGTAAGTCATTCCACTTAAGCAGAGTACAATTATTTTTTTTAATGTTATGTGATAAATCTAATGTCTCATTTCGTTTTTAATCCTTTTCTTTTATTTATAGCATTCAAAAGCAGATGCAATTAGTTTACCTATCCCAAAATCTGTAAGTGATATTAATTAACTAATTAACGATTTAATCATTCTTGCTGACTATGACGATAGTTTTACAACTGCAATTACTATTGTTCTTATTTCGTTTTAAGATAGTTTTATTATCAACAGGCGTAAATGTGACACATACTGGTAATTTCCATAACTATTTGAAAACCGCAATATATCAGCCAATAATTCTCCTTGGCTAATCACAACAATGTTGATGTAGATATCAGGCGGCAGTTTTACTTGTTTAATGACAAACTTACCTTCTATGTGCCCAGACTGATTCACCTGAGATGGCTGAATCAAACAGAGATACTACTGGTTGGTGGAAGTAATTCCCAACTACTTATATCAACCAGTAGTGTATTGCAGATACCATTAAATATCACTTGTTTAGAGTCACTATTCAATTTATTCATTTCAGTTCTCATTCACTAATGTCTTAATTCATTCTCTAACAGAAGTAAAAAGGAAGAGCTTCTATATAATGAAAGCGTTTGATCAATTGTAACTTTTTTGAAAGCCATCCAGGTTATTTAACCTTCAGTGTGTGAAAGAGGCTTGAAAAACGTAATCTTCTCAATGGATATTTAGTATTCATGATTGTTATATTCAAAGGACGCTGTTAGCGGGAAGTAAATTACTACACAAAAAACTTCACATTGAACAGACGTGCATCGACTGCTATAATGATCAAAACTTTAATTGACGAGTACTGTCCAAAATCAATAGACCAAAGTTCCATAGATATTCTTCAACTTCATAAAAATATGTGTTATCTGAATATATATGCAACTGAACACTCACATTACAACATTTCGTTTGATGATGATAAGCAGTGAGACTTGTAAGCTGGATACACCTACCTACACCCCAGTGAGACTCGAACCCTTCACCCATCATATCAGACAACAAAATGAGTCTCTAGATAAAGCAATAAGAAGATGTAATTTGTCTGAATCGTGTATTGTGCATTTGCGCAAAACATTTCGAACAATCTGATCACACACGGACTTGTCATAGGAATATATATGAAATTAATAAAGAGGTAAGAGGTGAGAAAATAGACTTAGGTCAAGTTAAAAGGCCATATTGAAGAGGAAAGAAAGTTGACACAAACTCTGTTTGATAACAATTATCCAGACAAGTTCATCAGGAGATATAAAGTAGTTAGAACACCAAGACCCACTCTACAACTCACCCCTAAGAAAGACGTGTACATTAAGCTACCCTATATGGGACATCAAAGCAGCTTGATAACTAGACAAAGATTGAACGCTGCTGTTAAAAAGACTTTTTATGCAACTAAGATCATAATAATTCAGAATGTGAAGCCAATATATCCATCCATCTAAGCCCTTTGAACATGCGGAAAATGTCACATCCCGCTGTATTTGCAATTTGAATGTAGGTGTGGATACACATAAATAGGGAGGGCTCATCGACCTCTGCAAGTAAGGGCTTCAGAGCATATTCCTAAATGGCTCCAGAAACAAATGGAATCTTCAGAACCCATTAATGGTGAGAACAGGAGACCTAGCTCCTCTACTGCGAAACATATTATAGAGACAGGACATAAAATTGACGTTTACACATCTTTTAAACCTATCTATAAAACGTGTTTGGGGGGTATCCTAAAGTTTGTGGAAGCCCTAGCTGACAATTAGAAAGTTTAAACCACCTTTATGCGTTCAAAAACAATTCATCATCACACTAAACCTTCCTTGGTAAATTTTGTTTTGATACCATAGCAGATGTACTATTACCTCTGTTATTTGGTTTAGTGATCTTCATTGTTATTTTGACCTTCAATATGTCGTTTTAACTTGACCTAAGTCTATTTTCTCACCTCTTAACTCTTTGTTAATTTCATATATACTCCTTTGACAAGTCCGTGTGTGATCAGATTGTTCGAAAAGTGTTGGGCAAATATATTACACGATTCAGACAAATTACGTCTTCTTATTGCTTTATCTAAATTCATAAAGGGAACTAATTGTTTTAAAAATGAGTCTCACTGGAAACAGAAGTGCATCCAGTTGACAAGTCCCAGATAGGATGAAATATACATTCTAGACTTCAGTGTTAGTCATCATCAACCAAAATAACATCATGTTAATCTTCAGACATCACTGAAGGCACCGTACCAGAAACCGACTTGTCAACAGCGACTGAATATCTCGGTTCAACATAATTAATCAGCGGAAAATGCTAAGCAACTTAAACAATAAACACTGAAATTGTTTTTTTTTCCATTATGCCACATTTTGATCCGCTAAAATCTATTCTCTGGGTACCTACACTATTTTGGTTTCATTAGGAATCCAGTCTATCCAACCCTGTAAACTAAACTGTTAGTTGAAAGCATTGAAAGTCAAAAACAGATTCTGCAAGTTTTTTTTGCTAAAAATCGCTTCCAAACGTTTTTAAACAAAAGATTATTTTTACATTGTCCACATTCTTTACAAAGTAAAGCAAATTTGTTAACAAACGTAAATACCAATATCTCAAAAGATAGATACTTATTTTGCTTATTGAATGTCTGTGCAAAAGTTAAAGAAAAATTTTCTAATATATCTTTTTTTCGGCTGAAAAACACGTCATTTAAAAAATTACTACTGCAATTTCCAAATTCTAGTCTAAACAACATATTTCTTAGTCCCTATTGTACATGATAAACTGCTTGTCAAGGATAGCCATACTCGAAAACGGTGACAGATACGTCATTGGTTAGAATTTCACCAATTATAATAAATGCCAAAATCTCTCTCTCTCTCTTCGATTACTAGTTGACCAATCAAAAAAGACTTGAACATTCTGCCACATACTGCGTTGATGTATAACCACGTGACTTAAATTTGTTGAGACAAAAATTTTAAAAGTGACAAAGGCGTAATGACTATAAAAAGTATACCACACAATGTAAAACGAATACCTTTACGTCAACTGACTGGAATGTGAATGTTAGTGCCTTGAAGAATAAAGACACCAGTAGCTATTTACACTTTTAGATTTTCATCTTTTCCGTATCTCTCATTTTTTTCATTCCCTTGTGTTCCGAGGACTTCAGGGTTGGGCTTTGAAGTTTCAGTAGCAGTTGTGTTGTCTTTATGGGATGGGATTGCGAGCCTCATGTCCAGAATTCCCACTTTCCCGGTTCACTTACTACTAGCTAGTGGACTAGGTAAGTTTTAAGGGTGCACCCGTGGGGAATCGAACCTGGGCCACTTGCGAACCTAGTAAGCACTCTACCCCTGAGCGACTGGCGCACATATCTCTCAGCATGAATTGTAAAACAATTTAGATATCACTAAAAAGATATTTACATTATTCCATTAAAGCCAGCTCTGCAATTATTAAATACACTAAGGTTTCTCATCGTGGGGTTAACAACACGATTCACGCTACAGTTCACATAAGAATCCTGACTAAGACAAACTGTCTATTTTCGGTTAGTCACTACTAAAATGGATAAAATCCAAATATTTTTACAATCTGATCTTACAGTTCCCTATTAGAAGTCAATAAAACCAGGTGAAGACTGTTGAACTTTAGCATAAATGAGATTAGTGGCACTGTGTGACGGTACGTTATCACCTATAATCTAAATGAGTATCTCTTAAGAAATTTTAGAACTTACGATAAAATCGTTATCATGGCCTATTCAGGCAGTTAACCTGGGTTCTAGTGGGAAGATCGACAGACATTGTCAATGGTTATTAGGATCGGCCAGTGGCTCAATGGTATACGAGCTTGCCTTGTAACCGGAAGGTCCTGGGTTCGAATCCCGGTGGGTGCGTACTGACGAAGAGTCCCGAACTAGGACGAAACAGCTGTCCAGTACTCCCAGGTTTTCCAGTGGTTCTCTAACTGATGTCAGCTCAAAAATCGTTATCACCAAAATTTACCTCCCATTCGTCTCTGCCTACTTAATAGGATAGAACAGAAGCGGTCAGCTACAATCTGAATTTCCTAAAGTAGCTGATATATTATGTGATTTTGTACTATGTTACCAACTTTTGTTATACTACGCGAGAAAACATCTTGCGATCACTTCTCCTCTCACTAGATAAAATCTGTAAGCAAGTTTAAATTTATGTACATTGAAACTTTCAACTGGTCGTGTTTTAGATTAACAAGGCGATTTACTTCTTTTTTTTTTTTAATCTGCTTCCTTATAGACACCAGCTCCTGTATTCGAACCACAATATTTTCCAGTTTTAAAAGGAAAGAAAGTAAGTCCTACATGTTATTCATGTTAAATTATAAACTGATGGTGCTATTTGGGAAAATCATGAGAGTTTTACTCAATTCACGGAAATCAAGGAGTGAAATTAAATTTGTATTGCTATTATGAATAAGATATAACTAAAATCAAACTGCAACATACCAGCGAGTAATCACTTTCACTTGTATATTTTATATGATTTTGAAAAAATGCAAAGGAAGGGCACGATAGTATTTGCTCATGTTCATCGATTTGTGCTTCTCTTACCTTCCTTCCATGCTTTATAGTTTGCCTCACAAGAATCTTTCATTTCTTCTCTTCGCCACATATTCCATCACTCTGTTATTCAATATCCTTACAGAAGACCGCACACACACACACAATATACCACTTACAAAATCTTGTCGTAGCACACGCCACACTCGTCCTCCATCAAAAATTCTCTAACGGAGCCATTTCGACCTTATTGCTGCTATGCGCTCTAATTGTATCTTGATGAAAACGTCTTTATTTCACTGTAAACATCTCCGACGTTAACCTGACTACATAAAGCTGACCTAACCTGTCTCTGGTGGGATCATGGGTGTGCACTGCTGAAGAATCACAAAAAGGACGAAGTATCTGTCCAGTGCTCCTTGTTTTTTAATGATTCTCTAACTGATTTTGTTAGGTGACGGAATCTAGAACAAAATTAATCCAACTACCTTTAAAAAACCCAGAATCCTAAAAACCTAATTATTATTTTGAAATTAACTTTATGGTGATAATCAAATAGTGATCGCCCTGTTTGTTTTTAAACTTCAAACAGTCAAGTTTCTTCCGTCTATATTATTCTGCCTTAGTCTTCTTTCCCATTAGAATTTCATTGAATGTAACATTTAGTTACCTATACTCAATTACAAATGTATAAACCTCAATCCTAGAAAATTTGTGAATAAACTGCTCTATAAAATCATGCTACTCACAAGTAGCTCAAAAAAACGATAAACATTTATGGAAATAAGCTCAGAAGGCTAGTGATATATCTATCGCAGTTAGAGGATTCCAAATAACATCGAATCAATAAAATCTATCGATCACAGTTCAAAAGACCTGTATGAGATAACACAAAACTGAATGTCTGATAAATCAAGAAAAAGAAAACAGTGAGCCAGGTTAGAAATAGTGGCTGAACCTGTTTGTTTTTTGTACACAAAGTTCTGCATACTCATGTTCTGAACTGTTGTCAAAAACAATAATTGTTTAACTACTATAGATACACAACTGTAGAACCTGATGAATAAGTTATCGGGAAGAGTATTCCTGGTTCAGTTATCACTCTGTTCAAATTTGTAATGGGCATCTCTTATCAGTTGAAATAAGTTCAGTCATATACCTACCTAGATGGTGATCAGTTACTTTATCCCTTCTCTCTGATATTGTACTTCTTTACTATCGGTCAGTTACTTTGGTCTCTCTGACTAAAGTTTTTTTGTCCAGTGAATAAAATGAATTTAGAAAATACTCAAATTCTGCCATCCTTAATATTCCATTGGTTCAAAAATAATATACTATGCATGTAATCCTTTTGAATAAATTTGTAAATGTGCTGATTAGAGAAGAACATCCATCTCTTTCTTTAATCAACCTGAGACCAGTTTGGAAATCTTCTGCACTCAGCATAAACAACAAGATTCGGATTTTCAACACCAATGTCAAGTCGGTCCTTCTATACAGGTCAGAAACTTGGCGTATCACGACAAAGATTTCCAACAGGCTACTTTAGACTTTTATCAACAGCTGCCCCTTTCTCTGGCTCCATACTGAAGATCAAATGACCAGAAAGAATCAGCAACAAGAAACTCTGGCTGGGAACACACTAAGAGCCAATTGCTCAACAAATATGTAGGAGAAAATGGAGATGGATTGGGCATACATTGAGGAAACCGTCGAATGACATCACGTGCCAGGCCAGAGCTCGAGTGGAATCCAAAAGAGAAGCGACGATTGGGTCGTCGGTGCAAGGGTGACATGGAAGAGATCTTGTGAGGGAGAGATGAGAGATTATGGACAGTCGTGTACCCAGCTGAAGAGGACAGCAGAAAATACAGCAAAGTCGAGATGTGTTGTTTAAGCCCTATGTTCCACTCGGAACCCAAAAGAATAATAATAAGGGAACTGAATGGTGTTTTGTTGTGGCTGTGCGACAAAGCACACCCTTAAATACATCAGTTTGAATGAACTATTCTTGCCAGTCTGTGGCAGTGAATGTTGCTTCATAATCATATCTAGGCAGCCGACTTCAGAGTTAAACATATAAACTGGCATCTTCATGATTTTGTGATAGTATACGTGATCGATTGTATCAAAAATGCTTCGTTTTTACTTGTACCCTAGTGGCGCTGATTTAAACAGGTGTATTTTGGGTAGTATACCTTATTATCACTCCCACAAATCAATACTTTATTCCAATTCCATGTGAGATTAAATCTGTCCTCTTAGTGTTTTGTCTTCCTATTGCTTATATTTGCCACTGACTGTAAGATAGATACCTTATCGATTATAATTAAGTTTTAAAATTACCTCTTCATTTTATTTATCACTGGAACTTTAATAGCCCCCCAGTCTATGTCTTCTGTTCAACAACCAACAATATTGATGAATATCATCACTGTCATTTTTACAGATAGAAAGTAGTACATGAAAAATACCCATCAAGACATAGAAATAAGAACAAACAGTACAGAGAAAAGTGTTTACCCCTAAAAATCCCTTTGCTGAACTGTCTATTCATATTTCCAAGAAGGTAGTAAATGCAGAAAAGTAATAAAAATTGATTTAAATATTTTAAAGTCCACGTGGGCAAAAGAAAACACGAGATTCAATGAAGTGACGCTTTTCGATAATTTCATTTACTGTACCTGTGTAAGGGCAGTTATACACATTTAAACTGTAGCGCTATTAAAGCCAATTTTTACTATACAATCATCTTTTAAAATTTTGAAATTGATTTTAATTTAAATTTAACGAGTGATTATATTTCACTCACGGATGATTTATGTCTTATGTCGCACAAACTCAAAGATATGCAGGTGTAATCAACAAGTTGTGTCACAGGGAGACAGAGGTGCTTGACTATACATATTTGTATTCACTAATCAATATATCTTATCACCTAAATATGGAAATAATGTAATCAGTTATTGGTCAGACTATGCAAATTCCATTTACTCATCTTCCTTAATATGTGTTATTTCTCTTGTCAAATAGCTTTATCTAATTGCACAAAATGAACCATTACGTGGTGATTTAAAGCTTGGTGATCGAATGACTGGTGCACATGCTGGATCAATATTTGCCTGTCAACGTGCAGCAAATCTTAAAGGTTTAGGAAGAGCATTCTATCCATTATTAAGTACAGATATGTTCAATATGGATTATGTTGTACCACCAACGTATAGATATGGTATTCCACTAGTCAACTTATACGTAAGTTCATTTTTAATATATATATGGATGTAGAACCTAGCACGAAATTCATCAGTGCCATTTACCACCCTCACGCCCATAAAAGAAAGAATAGAAATATCAAATATAGAATAACATTACAATAGACGAACATAAGTGTGATAGTGATAAGTCAGTGATGATATAGTAATACTGCTGAATTGTGGGCTGGATACTAAAACTGATCACCGATTATTTCTGACCCCCAGAACCCATGAAAGTGAAGACAGAAGACAAATTCATCTATGATAGTGAGAACAATTTAATTGATTATACAAAAATGGAACATATACAAATAGGTTATCTAGCTGTATTGCCTTGGCCCAATGGTTTAATTTGTCCAGGCTGCTTCAAGCCGGTCTAAGCCTGTTTTACCTGATTGTACCTGCTTCCTATCAGAGAGAAGAGGTAATCATCAAATAAAAGTCAGTGAAGATGTTTAGGTAATAACTTTAACGACTGCTTTTGGTGCTAAACTGTAGTTAATGGCATTCGAGAAGTTGGATAAGCCAACGGTTACTCAGCTAATGTATGCAAGTCATGATATGTTGTAGGTTAGTAAGATAATGTACTCCTGTCGATACCTAAGAATTCTAGATTTGATGAATCATTATTGATTAATACAACAGAACTGATTATTCTGTACTGACTTAAGTGTTGTCTGCGGGGATATCACGATATGATATTAACACACCTTGGTAATGATTTGTATAGTCCCAAACCAGGACGAAACAGCTGTCCAGTACTCCGAAGTTTTCCAGTGGTTCCCTAACTGAAGTCAGTTCGTGATCAGACTTGAAGACAATTATATTCACTCAGATTATCTGTACATCTTGGTGTAGTTGTGTTTTCTGAGCTGGATGGTTTAGTTGAGAAGCTTTCATAGTCTTATTAGACAACATCCTCAGAGCATTCTTCAATTTGTTTGCCGATTATTTATATCCTCACTTATAATTGGCTGTTTTGAAGGTGTTTTATCGATTTTTCATATAACTAGAATATATGTTGTGTTGTTCACGTATACTATACCCGAAGACATCATAATATTTAATCCTAACTCTTATAAAATGATAATATCGTACATATTTTCTGATAATCCAGGATATTAAACAAATGAAAAGGTACATTTAACAGTTAGAATTTTCCGAAAATTATTTACTAAAATACTTTAAGGTTTATTTATTGTCTTATTACATAATAGGACCTGTTTCTGACATCAAATCGGTTACCAACAATGAAACCATAGCAAAAAATGAAAAAAAAAACAAGATGGCCTTACTAAAGAGCTTTTGCATAGAGACTAACTAATTCAAAATGATTATCAGTATATAGGTGAACTGTAACTTTTGATGTGGTTGTGTTCTCTGAGCTGGGTGGTTTAATTGCGAAGCTTCCACTGTCTTTCTAGACTACATCTTCAGCTCAAACTTCAATATGAAGAAAAACTCACAAAGTAGCCGATGGAGTAATGGTTTACTTTAATATTTTCGTAGATAACAGGAGTCCAAAGTGGTCTAAATACGTCTGTGTTGAAAATACTGTCATCTCGCCTGGTAATCTTGAAAAGATGACTAATAAACTCGTGGAGAATTTTAAAAGTTTACTTCAAATTAAAGTTCAAGTGTTGGTTTGAAGAGATTTGACTGGTTACAGGATTTCATCAAAAGCTGATATGAGTTAGAGAACCACTGGAAAACCTGGAAGTACTGGACAACCGTTTAGTCCTAGTTTGGGATTCTTCAGCAGTACGCATCCACCAGGATTCGAAACCAGGACCTTCTGGTTACAAGGCCAGCAAGCTCTTAAACCATTAAGCCACTGGGACCCGATCTAATGGCCCATGAATTCCTACTTCTACCAGTTCACTACATAGCACGACCGCTAGCCACTGTCATCGGTGAGTATTTGTCCTCACACCTGACCTGCCGCATCCTACTGGTCACGACTTCCCACTAGAACCCTACCTACCTAAATAAGGCCAGTCACTAGTGAGCATCTGATTGACATTCAAGTATTGGTTTGTAGGGATTCGATTGATTGGTTGGAGGATTTCATCATGAGCTGTCATCAGTTAGAGAACCATTGGAAAACCTGAGAATACTGGACAGCTGTTTTGTCCTAGTTTGGGACTGAGAATGTTGTCTAGTAAGACAATGAAAGCTTCTCAAGTGAACCATCCAGTTCAGAGAACACAACTACACCCAAGTCATCCACCTGGACTACAAATCTTCTCCAGTATATCTGTACATCTAGACAATAAGTGACTACTACCACCACCACACATAAAGTGTGTGTCTTGAATGCTTTGACACTGGTGCGTATCAGTAAAACTGGTTAACAGAAATATTAATCAATTTAATGTATTATACAAAAGTGTGTTTCTTCTTTCTTTATTCACAGGGTGAAGTATTGTTTGATGATTTTATGAGTCTTATTGAAGGACGATCGAGGCCTCAAGCAAAATTATTAAACTTTGATGGAGTTGATATTACAGATGATGTTATGTAAGTGACATTTTTATCATTATATATATATATATATGACTTCTGTTCATTATGTAGTGTACATGGTATTTATTTAAAAACTAAAGTTTCTGGTTTATTAAAGTTAAATACAGCTGATATAACTGATTGGTAGTCAACTGAGCTGTTAAGTTCTGTTAAGTGTTAACAGAAATTAACCAATAGAGAATGGAATGGAACAGAATGTAGTCAATAATCTTAATAAAATTATACTACTTCGCATTGTAATGAACTCTTATTTTGAAGTTACATAATTAGTTAGGTTCTTCTCACTTTGAGTTTCGTATTGACTGACACTCATCAGAAAGGTGTATCTGATTCCTCATGTTGTATCTAAGATTAGAACTTACTTCATGAGTTACTCGTGTAGAAAATGATTTACCGTTGAAATGAATGATAAATTCGGGTGTCTGTTATTTTTCGAAACTTACCAATAAAGTGTTAAGTTTAAGTGTATATTTGTGTCTCTTATATAAATTCTCCAGTGCCGTTGCCATTTATATTTTGACTTCAGTAATGCCAGCGTCTGGTACCTATTTCATCAGGGACAATCATCACAAATAAGTTCCCAGCCATATACACACTTTAAGTTTCCTAAAAGGGAAATACTGGTTTCACCGAAAATATCCCAATCAGCATAAATGGGAGAAATCTGAAAGAAGCAACCCCCTTCACCTATCCACCTACCTGCGAAGCACCGTTTCAACTACAGGTAGACGGAACTGATGAGGATATCAAAGCGAGGATAGGGAAAGCGAGGCAAGCTTTCGTTTCTTTCAACTCTGTGTGTAGGTCAACAGCACTCCTCAGAATGAAAAATAAGATCCGAATTTTCAACTCCAATGTGAAGTCAGTGCTACTTACCTATACGGATCACAGACTTGGCGCCGCGTCACGAGGTTCACTTCGAACAAACTACAGACTTTCATCAACAGCTGTCTTCGCTCAATACTAATCAAGGTCACTTGGCCGGCCAGAAAAGATCAGCAACAGGGATCGCTGGCAATGAATGGACCAACCCAGCGGGAACCAAGTGTGAAACAAATATACAGGAAGAAATGGAGGTGGATTGTCCATACTCTGAGAAAACCATCGAGTGAGTGATATCACACGCCAGGCCATTGCTCGAGTGGAACCCGAATGGGAAGTGGCGAGTTGGTCATCAGTGCGAGGGTGACATGGAGGAGGTAGTGGGAAGAGGAGATGAAAGCATGTGGGCAGACGTGGGGCCAGGTGAAAACGTTGGCGGATAACTGAACGCATTGGAGACGAGTGGCTGAAACCCTATGTTCCTCTAGGAACTAAAGGAAACAATAATAATGATAAATTAATAAACACAAATGTTTCCGAAGGTTAATGCCTCTTTTGTTTATTTATTCTAGACGAAAGTAAATTGAACGAAGTAAGGAGTTCAAAGCTAAAACTAGAATAATAACTATCATAATTTAAAATAAATACTCTTAATAAAGTGAAAAAACTGGAATAATTATACAATATGTCCTATCTAGTCACAAGGATACACTGTTGAACATCTGTTAACTTGAACCACACTTCAAAATATTAACATTTGGTTTAGTTGTGCTTTTCAGTTTAATGTCTAAACGTAGAACGTATAGTTAAGTTAACTGAATATCAAATGAAATACATATTGAATATGGAATTAAAATACTGCCTGAGATAACGTTTACCATGTTCAAGTCTTAGTAGGAATACCATCATTCATTGGGAAATCTGACTGGTGGGTCCTAATGTAGAAAACAACACGAGATGTTAGAGATCACCTATTACATAACATTCCTTAGTTAACTTGAATATATTGTGATACTACGAGATTACAGTCACGTTGTTCTTTGACTTTTTTTCCTCCTTAAACTACAACATTTTTCAATTTAGTCTTCGGGCTTTTTGTCATTATAGGTAAATTACGGGTAGACAGATACAGAACAATAATTATATGTTACTTATGAAGGATCAGTGTCTTTTATTGGTGTGTATGTTTGTGTGTGTGTGCGCATATCTTTACAATTTGAAATAATTACAGACTAACGTCATAGATAATGTTGAAATACAAATGTACTATTTATTGTCATAACTAAATAATGAATTAGCCCAAAGATCCTTCAGAATAGCTGTTTGTATGATTTTAAAAAGTGAGGAAATAACAATAATAAACTGATAAACAGTTTACAAACTTGTGTTGGTAGTTTGGGAATAGAGTGCCCGCCGGTTGCGCACATGGTCCAAGTTCGATCCCTTGCCGATGCAGTCTTAAACCCCGCTTAACCGGTAGTAAGCCTGGTAAAATTAAGGTAAGTTGATTGTGTGGCTAGCAACTCCACTCTGTGAAAGAAAGAAAAAACACTACAGCTCCTAAAAATCCAAAACTCAAACCTTGAAGCCCTATATCCCACTCGAAATGCAAAGGGATGAGAGGAATGGAGAGATTTTACAAATTAGTTTCTGTCATGTATCCATGCTAACAAAGAATTCAGTGGAATTGAGCGCTACTGACTAAATGATGTAGCCTAGTGGAAAACATTTTGATGCTTAAAGCTATGGGTATTGGGTTCGAGTCCCAGTGTGAACAAATTCACATACTTGTATGCAGAAATAGCCAACTGACAAGCTATGGATAGGATGAAATGCACACTCTGCATGCCAACCAATATTAGCTACCACCTATTAGCACAGATGATTTGACCTTATGTAAAGATGACAACCTTCCAAATTAATATTCACTAAGATACTCAACCATTTTTTTTATTTGATTTACCAATATGTCATATGTGCGTGTGAATGATAAGATTTGTAAAAATAAATGTACTAACAAATTTCCATTAATCATATTTATGACTATTGTTAATTAGTGTCTGACTGATAATTGACCTGTCATTTTATCTCTGTCGTTTAAATAAACTTCCTTAGATTAAATGAACTAATTTAATTTAGGCGCATAAATAATTATTTTAAATTAAATGATAATTTAAAACAAAAAGAGAGAGAGGGTGAAAAAGAAATTTCATAGAGAAACTGTCACTGATTTGTTGCTAAGTCATTTTACAGTTTATTTTTTAGCTTTTTATAGGGTTTTTTTGGCATATTTTACACTATATGGTTCTACTTTTACTGTCAGTCAATGAATGTTTTATAAAATGTTTAATTTAACATGAAAAAGGAATAAAAAATATTCATAAAAGCAGCCAAAAGGTACCAAGTAAAATTTGATCTCGGATCAGTATTGGTTAAAGGACGATCAAAAATCTAGGCAGTACCGGACAGCTGATTCCTCTTACCTTGAGATTCTTTAGCAGTAATCTCACCTCTAGGGATCGAACTCCAGGACCTTCAGGCTACAAGGTGAGCCTATTCACCATTCAGACACTTTGATTGGATAGATTGACCCATCAGTTCTAACTTCTGTCAATTGGCGGTACAAAGCGTGACCGCCAATCAACGTCTTCGGCGACTATTTGTTCACACACCCAACTTGGTGGGCGCTAATAGTCGTGATCATGATAATTATTTTCAAATCTGTAAAAGTGTTAGATATGCCAACCAAATTCATTAGACGAACTCTTGCTGTTCTTATTCTTCATACATTTACCAAGTATTGGTTTGTAAGGATTTTCGTTTGATTGGCTGGAGGATTTCATCATGAGCTGACATCGGTTAGAGAACCATTGGAAAATCTGGGAGTACTAGTGACTGGCCGTATTCAGGTAGTTAACCTGGGGTTCTAGTGGGAAGCCGTGACCAGCAGGGTACAGCAGGTCGAAGGTAAGGCAGTAACTCATCGAAGAAGACATTGAGAAGTGGTCGCGCTATGTCGCGAATTGGCGGAAGTAAGAATTCATGAGCTGGTCATTGGATTCGGTCCCAGTGGCTTAATGGTTTACAAGCCCACCTAGTAACCGGGAGGTCCTGAGTTCGAACCATGGTGGTGGATGCATACTGATAAAGAGTTCCAAGCCAGGACGAAACAGCTATCCAGTATTCCTAGCTGGTTTTCCAATAGTTCTCTAACCGATATCAGCTCGTGATGAAATCCTGAAACCAATCTTCATACATTTATCAAAATATCTGTTACCTCTATCGAATGATCCACTTGATAACACAGAATTACTTGATACAGAATGATTGTGATCCTAACTAACTCATTGGAAGCAATCGACAAGAAAGCTTGGGCCTAAGTTTTATGCTTAATTGCACCTTCTAACATTACAACAGTACTGTTAACTGGGTGACGTTTCGAACACAATTCATTTCTCATAATCATAGTAGTGTATTCTTACGACTTCCTAATTTGCCTTATATAGCCTTACTCAATGGGATTTTCTTTATATCTGCCGTGGATATCGCATCACTGTGATTGCAACTGTTTGGTATTCATTCAGTGAAAAAGACTCGGTGATTAAACTATTCTTCACCTAACTATATTATAGTACTTCTGTAACAACAGAAGACAAGGGCCAGGCAACAGATCGTTTATTAAGGAAATCAACAAATAGGAACTCTTCGCTGAAGTTTATATGACTGAATGGGGATTTTCAAGTTACAACAAATATTTATAGATTTTCATGTACATTATTATAGATTATTGTAAGCAAACAAACACAGTCTTCTGATTGGTGGTTTCTCGCTGAACGTTAATCTTTCATCTCTTTGTGGCCGTTTCTTGAAGTTCAGATTATCTATCTGCAAATTGTATCCGCCTACACAAAGTCTGCTGTGATTGGTTGTTGAGTTAGTCTTTGTTCTTATTTTTCTCATGACCAATATTGGGGACGTACACTTTGACGTAAATTACTATCTACCGATTTTGGCTAGCAGCCAGCCCTCACCACACTTCTACCCTTTCTTACCTCGTTGTGTGATTACATCCTAGTGAATGCATTACAATGGCCCATTTTGTTTTCTAAATTATTTAACTAAGCACAGTCAGTCATTCCAGCTCTAGGTAAATTTCTCTGTTCCTATGACCTAAGTGACCTCGATTTACTAGTTTGAACTATCTAACTGACATCACAGTTATTACATTGTTTTTTGGTCAATAATATTATTCCACTTAATTGTATCTATCGAGTCCTTAATACGACGAAGTTTGTCTCTGAATGAATTAGTTGGTTTAAATGCCACCCTAATTCCAGCTTTATTAAGAATCCCACGTAGGGCTTCTGATGTTCCTTCTTCATATGACAGTACTATTAAGACTTTGAATACCTCATTATTGATATTGTTCCCATTATTTATATTACTACTCTTATGGATCCTTATGGATCTTCATACATTTTTGCATAAAATCCTTTGGACAGTTATTCACTAGTAGTGTTTTCCGTATTCGTTTGGTCGCATTATTTAAACCTTCTGGTCTACTACTAAGGCTGCTGGCTCGATTATATAAGCACTTAACTAAACCTACCTCTACTGATTTTGGGTGAGATAAATCTTTATCCATCGAATTAAACACCAGACATGTTCAATCGAAACGATCCAATGCCTATACCAGATATATGGAAGACTGCAATAAAAAAATATATAAAAATATAATTGTAGAACCTGATGATGAATTTATCGAAAAGAGTACTCTTTGTTCCGTGTCCATTCTTTTGAAAATTTCAATGGGATTTTTAACAGTTAAAAAAAACAGTGGGAGTGAAAGTACATGAAGCAAGTTACCAAGTCGTGTAAATGTGTGGTGAGAGCTGTCTGCAAGACTAAATTGTAGACTAAAATTGACGTCAATGTTACGTCCCGAGTCGGGGTCATGAGAAAAAACAAGAACAAAGCCTAACCTTGAGGAACTCACCAACCAATCACAACAGACTTAACGTGTGCAAATACGATTCGCAGATATATGACCGAACTTTCTAAGCAACGGTAACAAGCAGATGACAGAATAACCTTCAGCAAGAAAACAACCAATCAGAAGACGTTGCTTCTCTGCTAACAATAACGAATAATAATGTACATAAAAATCTATAAATATCTCTTGGTTTTCTCAATAAACGATCTGTTGCCTGGCCCTTGTCTTCTGTCGTTACAAATGCATTGATATGATTGGGAACAATGAACTGCACTCGAAACGTCACCCAGTTATTAATACTGTATCAGTGTATGCTAATAACATCATCTAATCTGAAAGCTACTTAATTTAGTTTTGTTAGTAGTACATTGACAGCATTTAATTTTTTTTTAAATATTTTCTATTCATTTTGCAGAGCACCTTGTTTATGGATTGGTCAAAAACCAATTTACTTAAATGGTGATTACGAGTATGCAGCACAATCAAAATGTCGTAATTGGCAGTCAACATATCCTGGTGAAAATGGTTTAGCCGTTTCACTGCCAATTGTTGATAATGCACCAGGATTATTTTCTAAACAAAATTTCAAGTTAATGTCATGTTCAAAATTCTGTCGAATGTTGTGCATACAAATTACACCATCAGATAGTTAGAAAAATGACTGTCATAAGGAACAATTTTTAAAAAAAAACTAATACACTGGATTTATCCACGCACGCCTACGCACACACACACACATTTATATCTGCACACATAAATACAAACACGTGGGTGTCTATACTTACTTGTACACCTTTATAAATTAATAAATAGTCTAGTCACTGAATCAACTGTACGTCTGTCAACTCTATCAGTAAACCATACACACACAAAAAGATATAAAAAATGAGGAAATTATGTAAACTTTCCCTTTTTTTTCTCAATACATGAGAATTAATGTATTTTTATTTATTGCTTCACTAACGATGTGTACTTCTGGTTATTTGAAAAATCTGTCCATACGATGAAAGTCTTCAAACTTTTGAAAGAAGATCTGCTTGTCTTGACACTATTCTGTCCGTCCAAGAGTGTATGTGTGTGTGTAAATATATATGTATCCTTCTGTGTGAGAGTACGCAACGGAACAATTTTGAACGTTACCTATCGGATAAGCCTACAAAAAATCTAATATTAATAATCATTTTATTTTATTAGCTTACATGTCCCATCTCTTGAATCTCTGATGCTGGAATCTCCCCTCACCCAGCTCGACTTCTGTCATAGTGTGTGTCAACGCTGTTTGCATGAATCACTATTTTTCCAATATATTTAATATTATCTGCGGACAGTATGTGCGTTTGTGTGTGTGTGTGTGTAGGTGTGTGGTACTGGGTAAAAACTCGAAGTAGCGTTGGGTATTTAGTAGACTCGTTGCTACTTCATTTTCCTCATCGTTTTATGCGTTTGCTAATATTAATGTTGTTATTATTATTACTATTATTAACAGAGCCTAGTGGATGGCTATGATATTATAATTACTATAACTAATAAATAATATTGTTATTATTGATAATAATACATTTAAATATATTTTATACGATACATAATTGACTTATTTGATTTATTCTTAAAGTAACGGGGTATATATATATATATTATATATTATTTCATTCTTGTGAATTCTGAGTGGAACATAGGGCCTCAAGTTTGTTGATGTTTCAGGAGCAATGATGTTTTAGGGGGCGGGGCGGCTGGCCTCATGTCTACCCTCCCGCCCCCCAGACTTTCCAGGCTTACTTCCGGCTATAACCAACTTTAGATTTTCCCGTCGATTGATTGAACCGAAGTGCTTGGTCTCGGGTTGACATGTCAGCTTCTTCTGCAGATGCTTCGACGACGTCTAAGCATTTAATTAGAATTTAATTGGTGGATGGTGACTAGCAGTGGAATCCAGGATGCGCATTTCATCCTAATATGACCCGTTGCACAAGAGGTGGCTCTCGTGGCTCAAGTAGTATAGTGGATAACGCTTTGGCGTTTGAAACTATGGGCACTGGGTTCGAGCCTCAGTGGGAACATTGTCACTCACTGAGGAATGCAGGTACATCCAGATGACGAGTCCTAAATAGGACGAAATGCGCATCCTGGATTCCACTGCTAGTCACCATCCACCAATTTACTTCCGGCTAGCAAACCAGTCAAAGTTTTGGGAGTGCGTCTGCCGGGAGTCAAGTCCTAACCATGCACTTGTTTGGTAAGTATTCTGCCAATGAACTACTGACGCCACTGCAAATGACGTAATCAACTGCCATGTATACTTATATAGAGTTCTACCCAAAAATGGTCATTTTTGATAACTCATTCAATTCATCTGATTGATAGGAGAAGGTGAAGCTGAGGTGATAGACAAAGAATTGCTTTTCGGCAACAATTATTAATAGTGAATTAATCTAGTGTTAATTAAAGAGTTTTTAAATCAGATTACAAAGGGAACAATGACCAATGAGGCCTCAAGATGAAATTCAAAGCAATATGAAGGCATTAGTCATAGTGTGGAGGTGTGATACAGACGATGTGTTCCAACAGAATATTATTCTCACACATTCCCACAGTTCAATAGTGCGTTAGCAACAGAATAATATATGTGTTTCAATATTCTATTTCATGTCGTTTAAATCACACGCCCAGTGATTGGTTAAAGAATATAAACTGAGCTAAGATCATGTGTAGTATATATATATATATATATAGCGGTTTTATCACTTGAAAATATACCTTGGCTTCCGTGTTTTGCCTTCTGCTGTTACAATAGCAATCTGTACTGCTAGGAAAGTACCAGTCGGTTGAATCCAGTAAAATAGCCAACAAAAGAAAATTATAATTAGAAATTATGCTTTAATGTGGTGTTACTACCAAACCCGACTTGTTGTGGTCTGAACGCAGGAAACCGATCTCTGTGTTCTACTGTATAGCTGATAATACTTCCTTGAGACATATGCAGTCACGAAACGCTCCAAAGGCAGGAAAAGACGTTTATTCTTCGATAAATTTGTGGTTCTGTTAAATAATAATAACGTCAGAAACTCAGAATCAACTCGACAGTGCTGTTAGGCAGCTATACAGTCCAGTCTAAGTACAAAACGAGTACTTAAAACTAAGCTTAATATTCCCAAAAGAGTAGGATCAAAAACCTTGTCTGCAAGAATCACATACTAACGCTTCTCACAGACAGTTCAAGATCAGAATAAAATTGGTTCACTGAGACACAATAACATCGTACAGCTTATTATCAATGCGTACACAAACACAAAAAGAAGCATTAAAACTAGAGATTAAACAAGCACAAAGACAACTGTCAGGACAATCATATACAGTCTAGGAGAAAAGCGGATAGTAATTACAATGTTAGCTGAAACATCCAAATAAGTATAAATCTTATGATTAGATCATCCAGGAGGGATTTTCCAAGCAGTTTGTCCAATGGAGCATGAAGATGGTGAAAAATCCCATTTCTGGACGTAAAGTTGGAGGGAAAATACGACGGGACTCTCGAAAGATCTGTATATCGTAAAGACACATGGAGTGGTCTTTACTTGAATTTCAACAGCTTCTGCTCAGTGAGATACAAACGAACGCTGGTGAAAACGCTTTTCTTTAGAGCGAAGAGAACAGATTCACCAAACAAACCAGGCAGTGAACTAATGCTTCTTGAAAAATGCTTGAAAGAAAATGGTTATCCACAAAGTTTCTTTAACAAATATGGCAAGAATGTACTCAAGAAGCCTGATACAGCTACAGCCAGTAAGAAGCCTATTTTCATCAAATTCGACTACAAGGGCGACGACATTATGAGAATGGTAAATAAGAGATTAAGCGCAGCCCTGTCTAGCACATGTCCTGCAGCATCATTAGTCTCTCTACCCCAAATAACCTCTTCACTGGTGCAGTCAAAGATTGGCAAGTACCCCTCACATGTTACCTCCAACTATGTATACCAATTCACAAGTATCTGCGGGAGCAGATACATTAGAAGAATAGAGAGCAGGGCCTACGTCAGATTCCGCGAACATGTACCAAGGAACCTCCGGTTAAAGGGACCGAATTGTTTAAGCCCTTCATTCGCCAAACACCTGACTGAAACAGGACACCGAGTAGATGTGCTGGAAACATTCAAAATAATTAACATACAAAGTACTCAATTTTGGTGTGGTTGTGTTCTCTGAGCTGGATGGTTTGGTTGCGAAGCTTTCATTGCTCTACTGAGCAACATCTTCAGCGCATACTTCAATGTGAAGTGAGCTTTTAGAATTCTCTATGAGTTTATTAGTCATCTCTTCTAGTAACCCTGAACGTGATTGGTTGTTTTCGTGTGACATTTCACCCCTTAGTTTGCTTGTCTCGGTGCTGGCTGCTTCTTTGGTCTGAATGTCGTTCGTCATTCCTTCTGCTAACATTGAACGTGATTGGTTGTTTTTGTGTGACTTCTCACTTTCTAGTTCACTTGTTTTGGTGTTGACTGTTTCCTTGACCTGAAGTTTGACTTTGTTTTTGTGTGAATTTCTTCATATGGATTGGTATATTTTGTCAATCTCTATGTGTCTATTGATTGCTGATTCATTTGAATACCAGGCCTCTAGGAATTCTCTGGCATTTTTGCAGTTCCCTTTGTCTAAGATTTGAACATTGTCCCAGTCGAATTGGTGCCCGTGGTTGTCTGCATGTAGTGATATTATATTATATCTATATCTATATTATATCTATTATATCTAAAGTACCTCAAGTTTCTCAAATTTTCTGAAGCTATAGCAATAAAACGATTGAGGCCTGACTTGTGTCCAAAAAGAATCCGTTGTTGGACTTCAATTACCCTGGTGACTCACTTCTTAATAACTCTTTGTTCTCTGAATTGTAACTTATCTTTCACTCCCCCCCTTTATTTTTCGCTTGACTGTCTTAAGAGATAATTTTTCTTGATCTTCTGAGTTCTGCTCAATGTATTGCATCATCAACTTCTCATCTGACCTCAAGTGAACCGAAATTTTGATTTTCTCTTGTCTAATTACTTAACTATTACTAATTTTCTTTTGTTACCGCCTCAGCAACACAATTGTTAATTAATTTTTTTCGAGAAACTTCTCTCCAACAAGATATATGTACATATATGTCGTAACACTTCAGACACCTTGTAAATCGCAACGCCTTTTTTCACTATGACGCTCTGACAATATGCTTGCGAATGGACAAAAGTTTCTTCTTTCTTTGTTCAAATTTTTCCGTTACATGTGGAGTTCATAAGTTCAGGATGCGACTGACTTGTACTGTCAGCTAACTGTGTAGCCACAGTTATCAACCATCAAATTTAAAGGCCCTCTGAATGTGGAAAAGAAGAAACGATGGTTAGAGTAGAGGTTTTACTGTCGAAGCATCAGAAAAACCGACGAAGAATAACACTGAATATGTATATTTGCATTATGACCTCGTCTAATAAATAGATCATTCATAGATTTAAACAGTTAATTGAAAGCAAATGAACGACTTTAAAAAAATTAGGAAAAATAAAATGTATAGACATATGTGAAAAAAGTGCTCAACAGCATCCTAACATAAACAGATATTAAATTCGTATCCAAAGACGCCCTGGATGAAAAACTTCGACCGGAACAGGCTGGATTCAGGAGGAACAGGTCATGTATTGATCAAATCGCCACACTACGGATCATCATTGAACAAAGCTTGGAATGGCAGTCACCTCTCTATCTCAACTTCATCGACTTTGAAAAGACCTTCGACAGCGTCGATCGAGAGGTGATTTGGTAACTACTTCGCTACTACGGGGTGCCACCAACAATTATACATCTCATCCAACAGTTGTACGACAATGCTGCATGCCAAGTAATCCACAACGGGAAACTCACGGAATCCTTCGAAGTGAAGACGGGAGTAAGACAAGGCTGGCTGACTACTATCTCCAATGATTTTCCTGATTGCGGTAGACTGGATAATGCGACAGACAGCTGGCAGCGAGGAGACAAGCATAGGATGGACCCACACAAAAAACTTGGAGGATCTGGACTTCACCGATGATATATGTCTGATTTCCCACAAACTGGAAGATATGCAAGTGAAAAGCAACAAGTTGGCAGAAGAAACATCCAAGATAGGACTTCAGGTAAACATAGAGAAAATAGAGGTGATGAAGATTCCTGGCCAACAGTAATAGTAACAACAACAGACAACAATCAGCATAAATGGGAGAAATCTGAAAGAAGCAACCTCCTTAATCTACCTACCTGGGAAGCACGGTTTCAACTACAGGCAGAGGATATCAAAGTGAGGATCAGGAAAGCAAGTCAAGTTTTCATTTCTCTCAAGTCTGTGTGGAGATCAACAGCACTCCTCAGCATGAAAAACAAGATCCGAATTTTCAACTCCAATGTGAAGTCAGTGCTACTTACTATACGGATCACAGACTTGGCGCCGCGTCACGAAGGGCACATCGAACAAACTAGATACCTTCAT